GAGAAAATACCGTTAAAGAATCGCATATCACCTCAATTGACAAGTAGCAAGTAATAAGGTGGTAAAAGACCTTGTACAATCATGTTAATACTATTCAAAGTAATGATTGAAATATCAATACTGACCTTATTTCGCAGACGAGTAAAAACTTAGATAATTGAACTTTTTAAGATAGCCATTTTATTTTAAAAAACTCGTTTTAAAGATTAAACTAAGGTAAATATCGCATACTTATCATACATGCGGCGAGAACCAGATATGCTATCACTATACTAATACAGCTGTAGATATCATGTGGGTAACATATTTTGCGTCACGTATTGAGAACTTTAATCCTACACTTCGCCTACACGTTTTGGATGTCGTCCAGGTTCACGCACATATATTATTGTTTATAAGCGCCAGATTAATTTTTAAATAATAATTGCAAGTATTTTAATTAATTAAAAACATGCTATTTCAAAATTTATATAGAATAAAATATTCTGGGAAGCATTTGTAAAGGCATTCATCATGATAAACCGATAATTTTTTTTGGTACAGGTGTAACCTTCGAAAAAACTCATATAACCAAGTTTGGCAATGTTGAATTGTCGCGAAGTGTCCTTATTTTGTAAATAAGTTTATTAATCCATTTTTAGATGCAAAAAGCTAGAAAATGAATCGATATCTTTAAGAAAGAAAAAAAAATTATATATATGGAGTTTATCATAAGTTTTTCATTATATGTCAAAGGACACTTCATTCATTCTATATATAAATCGACGTCTGGATTTATTTTTAGTTTACTACCGATCTTCTAGAACTTCTCTGGACCTAGGATGAGGTCAAATAACCGCTATCAAATAATTCTACTAGACGTTCGAAAATTGTTTAGAAAATGTGAATTTCAGTTAAATGACTAATTTGTTTCCACCTTCTTGTAAAAATTTCGAAAAGGAGAAATTGTCACTTCGATGTCAATGACACAAATGCGGTTTATGATGTGACGATGAATCACGCGCCAGTTAAAAATATTTGGCGCCTAAAATGGATTATTTTTGATGATGTGACGCATTAGTATATACTCCAAAATATATAAAATATGTAAAACAACCAGCAGCGAAGTTCTGCTTGCGTAATTATTTTAACTGTATTGCTTAATATATGTTAAGGTTACAGACATTAAGTAAATTGGGACGATGTGAGGGAGAAAAGTGTTAAGTATTACTGAACTAAAAAAAAAAAACTGAATAAACAATTCAAGTTTTTGAACTTTCGTTAGAATCAAGATTTTTTAAAGTTAAAAATATTAATTCTAAAAAAAAACCTGAAGATGCTAGCGAATTGTTCATTTATTTATATATTCGTAGTCTCCCCCTTTTTTTGTTTGTTTTTAATCGTGTTTTTAAAATATAAATATAGCACCTACTGTATATATAATGAGATGAATTTGTAGAGAATATCGACAGAATTTTCCCGGAAGTGCAAAAGGAATGCATCAGCCTTCTGTAGAAGGAAAAAAAAAGCACCCGGGTCAAGTTAGGTCGATACAAAAAATATAAAGAAAAAAGTTATATCTGGGAGCGTGCCATCTTCAAATATCCAATAGAAAGAAGGATTTGGGAATGAAGTCAAAGATAGTCGCGACAGATTTCTTTTTAAACACGATAAGAATTAAGATGTTTCTGTCTGAGATTCCACAGTCTCCGAATAATCTAGTCAGGAAGAGTGATTACAAGATATGAGTAAACAAAATCGAGACAAAGCTATTTCGCAATTAATATGTTAAAACTCAATCTACAGCGATTATCTCTGCTTTATCTAATAAACCGGACAGCGGTTCGTAAAAGTGCAAGAGTTGAATAGCAACTAACCTTGCGGTTAATTTATCGGTTATATTAACATATAGGTATTTTTTTCTATAATTAACCATAAAGCCATTAATTAAACTTAAATATTATAATTTATATGAGAAATTTGTTAACATTTTTATTGACTATTAAACGGATGTAACTTAATTTTTCATAAACGGATGTAACATAATTTTTCATAAACGAGTGCATTATTTAAAGTTCTAAACGTTATAAAAGAAACGGTATATGATTCAATACTCAACAAAAGTCAACTCGTACATAAATGAATTGGAGACAGTTTGACCTCTGGGTCAAGGTATGACGATTATACACAACATATCAAACTGCACTTGTGTAACTGCAGTATGCAATTCAACCAGGCCATCCTGTCATCGGGGAGCCTAACAATTTAATTAATTTCATAATCGAGAGAGTCCCTGCTGCATTAATGTCATTAACTAAATGTTTTAATATATTTTATTCTCTGTTTTGTCATTAGTGAAAATTAATTATTTTAAAGCAAATGTTATTTTGAGTTGTTAATTATCCAAAATATTACATAATTATAGATCTGAATATCTAAACAATTAATATAAAATAAGTTTTTTAATTATTTAATATGAGCATTATGAGTATATTATCTATAACTGTTTTAATGCAAAGAAACATTTTAAATTCTTTAGCTTCTAATAAATGCAACTTTAGTATATCAGATATAATATTAGATTCTATTAATTTTTCTATTGTCAAATCTTATAATTACTTAAACTTTATTAGGTTCCAGATAATCTCATTGCATTACCACATGATAAGTGATTACCATCAATAAAAATTATATCACAATCAGCATTTATCATCAATGAATCCAAATTACAGAGTGAAGCCATATCTATCCATCAAATCAGCTTATGCATAATGTATTAAACAATGTATTGAAGATATATTTTTTAAATTTATATGTCTGCATATTAAAATTTTCTAATTCATTACAATTAGAAATTTTAAACATCAAACTACAAGCTTTGAATGTATTAAAAAAAAAGACAGACATACTTATTTAATCAGATTTAAATCTTATTACTTTCAAATTTATAAATATTTAATTACGTTTTAAGTTTTAATGCATAAGAACAGAAAAAAATGTTAATGCTTTTAAATTTATCATAAAAAATATTATTAGCTGAATCTTAGAACTTTCTAAAATTGTTCCCTGATGCTTTTTTTTCCATGTAATTTCCTCCGAAAAAATAAAAACATTAATTCATTATTAAAAAACTTAATTTAATTTAAAATATCAGAATATAAAAAAATATTAAAAACATATAAATTGAAACTTTTAATTTTTAAATAGAAGCAAAAATTAATTTAAAAATCTTTTCAAATAGTTTATTATAAACGTTGGAATTAAAATCATTTAAATTTGTTATAAGTGTATTATTAATTATTTAAATTTAATCAATTAAATTTTTATTTATTAATTAAGAAAAGTATACTTAAAAGAATTTTAAATGAGAAATTTATATTTTTATTTATGTAATGATTCTTAAGTTCTCTATAAAAAAAATTTAATAATAGAATTCTTGTAATTTAGGAAAACTATTTACTAAGAATATTAAAGAAAGAGAAAAAAGTTCTGTTTTATTTTTAAAAGAAACATTCATAAATGCAGTAGTACTTTTAAAATTTATTACTATTGTATTTATTTTGTCTACAATTAAAGTTTTAATGAATCTAAACAAACACAATACAATTTATTTTTAAATTATATATATGAAGAATGTCAGGAAATTAATTCTAATTTGAATTTTTAATTAAATTTCTACATAAATTTAAATTGCATTTTTAAAATAATATAAGTATTAATATAATATTTGTTTTGGCTACCATTTTGTTTGGAATTTAAAACCCATCAATTTGCATTAAAAATAAACACATTCAAAGTATTATATTTTTCTCATCAATTGTCACTATTTCCTTGTTTTGACAGAATTTTAATTTGACAATTTCTATTCCATTTTATCTGCCAAATAAAAAAAAAATTGTCCAGAAATTTTAATTTAATATTAAAAACTAATTTTATTATAACTTCATATTTTATAATTTTTTGTCTTTCACATTTTGTTGTTTTAAGTTTCTACTAAAATATTAAAAACTACATTTTCATTTTAAATCATTTGAAATAATCATTATAAATTCTTTTTAAAAATTAAATATATCCACTAAATTTTTAAATATTTATCCAATTAAACTAGAAGATAAAAATACATATTTTATTATAGAAATAAAAATTACAAAACTTTCCATAGACTGTATGATGATACATCACTATGTATTTATGATATCACACACAAACTCTTTCTCATGCATATAAAATTAATTTACTGCTTTATTTTTGNAATATGATCTTTTCTAAAGAGAATTTAATCTTTTATTCAATATGTTAATTGCATTTAGGAAAATAAGATATTATGTTACTATCATTTATCCTAAGGGAAAAGGAAAACTAGGAAGCACTTTTTATTCAATTCCCTCAAGAAATTATATCATTATGCGTACAATATATTCTTACAGATTTATCACATTTACTTTTCTTTTTTAAAAGAATTGAAAACAGAAAAGTATATTTCATCCTTCCATGGAATAATTATCAAAATGAATCGGTCTATTTAGCAAAGTTTGTTTATTTTTTTCTTTCTGCTACTTCTACAGAATTAGAATAATTTAAGTATATATTAATAAGAGATTATTTAAAACTATTCATTCTTTTATACATTAAAATAAATAAAGTTTGAAGAACAAACTTCCACACTGATAATTTCCATTTTTTTAAAATTTATATACACATCATTTTTTAAGAAATAAAAGTTGCAATACAAATCTTATTAATAGAGCAGCAATTACTCTTCGAGTAAAGAAATGAATGGTTTATTTGTTTAAGAAATTCTTCAAAACACAATGCATGTTTAATATACATACATACACACACAAGTAAATATTAGTTTAAAACGAGAACAAAATAATAATTGGATTTTAAGTAGATTAATTAATCGAGCCACGCGCTATTTAAATAATTTTTTGTTGTGATTTATTTTATTAAATATTTTTCCATAATCAATTTAAACTCTTAATTAATTGACATTTCATTGGGAAAACAACGATACTTACCAGACTTTTCATTTTTTGACGACATATTGGTTAATTAAGTTTGTAGTATCAATCGTTCCTTTTCCTAACAAGTAATGTTTTGCTTTTCTTCTCCATTTTTCCTCTTTAAACTAAATACACAATCCTTAATCCTCACCAATCTCCTCCTTCGTTCGACGTCTCTGCCTTTGATCGTCCGCATTGCAACGCTCTCTCGCGACAATAACAAACGATCAACGATAACAATTCTTTTTCTTTTTTTTTAAATTGAAAGTAAAATAAAATTAAAACCAAACTTAAAATTTGAAATAATTTAGAATTTTATTAATTTTATGCAAGAAGATAGTTAAGTAATATTTAAACTCCACTTATCGGCCATTTTGACCGAATTCGTTTCATTTTTTCGCAAAATCGTGTACAGTATAAGCTAATCATTTTTTTTTCCAAATCTTGTCTTTGTAACGTGATTAAATATATTATCGTAATATTATTTGGATGGGTTTAAGATAAAATAACTTTTTTTGGCATCCAAAATAACGTTTAAAATGAATAAATAACTTACGGTTTGAATTATCGAAGCGGATTTCTTTGACTTTCCATACCATTCTCCCAAATCACTTAAATGTTTAATAATTTTTCAACTGTTTAAAAATATTTCTATAGATTATGTAATTGTATCTTTCAAAATAAAGAAAAGTCACGCTGATTTTGCGTTGGATTTTTTTTGTTTTTATCATCTGATTCATACTTTTTTCCCTCCTCTAATTTACAAATTTAATATTTTTTGTAAAAATGTAATATTAATATTTTAATATTATAAACAATAAAATTATTTTATATAAACTAAATTTATATTAAAAAAATTTATTTATTGAAAAATAGATAAAAGGAATTTGTAGATGGCGTAGTTAGATGTCATCTCTGTCGGGTAAGTTGTATTTTGGTTTCTAACTTTAATGTTAATGTTGGAAGTACATTTGAAAAAAGATTTAATATAAAATCCTTTTTTAAAGTGAATTAATTATAAAGGATAAGGTAATGCTTTGATTAAAAACCTTACAATTTGTTAACTAATTTAAAAAGTTTTACAGCTGATTACATTATTAAGCAGTTCTTGCTCAGTTACGTTATCCAATTGTTTGTTTTACTTGACTTAAACACAAAATTTATATATATTTTTTAAAAAATTAACTCATTTTTCAGACATTTTGTAAAAGCTACATGAGATAAAGTTTACATAATCAGTCTTAAATTAACTACAGTGGCTCACAGTGAAAATGAAACTGTATTCATGAAACAGGAAGTTACATTGGCTGCATTCAGCAGACTCAACAGTTCTGGAGCTGTTGAGTATTTTTCTGCTGAACACCCTTTACAGTAGCACTCTTTCAGAACATGTTCAGTGTTTTAACATCACATTTGATAGCATCTTTCGTTTATGCTACCTATCTCTTTCTGAAACTGACCAATGAAGCTTTTTGTTTCAATGCAATGTCACTCGTCATTCAGTAGATCCAGGTTGCGACGTAACAGCTACCAATTTGCTCAGTTACAACTGTTGAGTCTGCTGAATGCAGCCATTATGAGCTCAGAAAAACTAATTGTTTACAAAATCACAAAGTAAGAATTACAAAGAGAATTATTGTTTCTTTTATAGTAAATTTATTTATTTACAAAAACAATTTTGAGAGATTTGATAAAGTAAAGATGAAGTGATATAAAATTAATCTTGCAATAAAAATAATATATTTAAATAAAATAACTGATGAAAGGATTTCTTATAAAGCTTATACAAAAATCAGGCCGACGAGTCTCGTGTGAGTATTGTATACTGCAAGATCCATCGTAGTTTAGCAAATACACCAATAAATACATTTCGTGTTAAAATGGGATGTCATACTGCAAGTGAAGAGGTTTGCAACTGATTATATTTAATTTTGAGCAAAACAAAAGTATTTCCTATATAGCTGTAATGGTGAATAAACATGCAGCAACTGTTTGACATATAAAAAAGACATAAATTGAACCAAAGCAAAGATTTAGCCCAAAGATGATATTAATGCTGCATGATGAAAAATTGATTGTGTAAAAAATTGTCAAAATTTTAAGCTGAGTGCTCTAACAAATGAAGTTGAAAAGTGTTTAGGGAAAAAAATAAGCCTAGAAATTATAAGAAGAATGCTAAGAATTTGCATGAAAGAGTAGCTTGGAAGAAGCCATTTCTTAATGAGAAGAATAAAAAGTTATGATTGGAGTTTGCAAAGCAAAATGTAAATAAAGATTTAATTAAACTACTGGAAAAGTGTGATTTTTAGTGATAGTGAATTCAATCTTATGCAGTCAGATGAACATGTTAATGTATGGCAATTGAAGAATTGCAACTTGAAAAAAATTATCATGTTTTTTTGTTGCTTGAACCTTTAAGCAATAACAAAACATGATGGGGGAAATGTGGTGGTGTGGATTGTGTGTTTTAGTATGGAGTTGGAAACTTGCATTTTATAGAAGGTAGGTACTATAAATAAGTTTATGTATCTTAATATTTTGAAAACTAATTTGAAAGAAACTGTTGAAAATATGGGGTTAGGCAATGATTCCAAACATACATTGTAATTAGTCAACTATCTAGGGTCAATTAAAACTCCTCCACAGTCACCTGACAAACATTATTGAGAATTTATGGACAAAATTTGAAACCAAAATGCAAAAAAATCAAAAAGATGATCTGAAAAAAGTCATTGAAAGGAATATGGGTAACAATTTCATTTGATTTACATGAAAAAATTAGTGGAATCAATGTCAAGACATCTGAGAATAGTAATACAGAATGAGGAAAATGTAACAAAATGTTAGAATAATAAGTTTTAGATGTTTAATGTTGCAGATCATTGAATTTTTGCATTATTGGCTGAAGTGTCAATTACAAATTCAAAGTTTAATCACTACATTTTGATAGCCTAAATTGTAGTAGCATTAAAGTACATAGTTGCAATTAACACTATTTTTTTTCTGATTGGCTACATGTTTGCCTTGTGTCTTATTGGTTAAAGAAAGTTGGGCATTATAAACTGTGACAAACTATTTCTGTTAAGGTATGTCGAAAATGTTTTATTTATACTTGACGCTGGTATGTACCATAATTGCTATGGTACAGTATTGTATTAATACAATACAATATTTCCAATCAAACCTATTACTGTTTACTGTGTAGGAACTTCTGTATCTCAACCTATCTCAAATTTTTTTTCTCATTCTCATGAGATTAGAGACAGACAAACTGGCTAAACTGTGTTTGTTCATAATTTACACCAATCATCAATGTTCCAGGATTCAAATAATATGTATCTATGTTCTTCTGTTTTGTTCCATTATATTTAAAAAGTGTTTGATTTATAGAACAATCTGATGAAGGCCATTAAAAACAAAGGTCTTAGTTGTGGATTCAAATTTTGAAATTGCTGATTTAAAAGTTTTGTGAATTTGTCTGAATAATTTTAACTTATATCACCAAACACTGATTCTTTCTCTTCAAACTCAACACAATAAAATAAATTTAATATTATTAAATCAAAAAGTTTAATATATTTGTTGAAGTTTTAACATGATTAAAATAATTCAGTTCTGTTTTCAGAATTAGAGAAAGAAAATTGCCAATTGGACTCAAAACAAAAAGTGAAAAATGTAAGGTAAAGCAATAATCTACAATAATTTGAAAATGCAATAACTGTGACAAATAGCACAGCTTATTTTAGAATTTTATTCAGTTCATTGTTTAATCTTTAACAAATTTGTTTCATTTTAAAAAATAAATTATAATTTGCATTACTTTTTACTTGATGGTTTTAATATAATTGCTTGTACTTACACTTTTTCCCAATTATGTTTTTAAATGCAAAAAAAAAGAAATCGTTTAATCATTATCATAAAGTACTCAGCAAATCACCAAACATATAAATAACACCTTATCCTTGCCGAGAAATATATTTATTTCAAAAAACAAATGTTTTCAGCCTGATTTACAGACCAGTATCAAGTTGAGAACGAAATTGGAATTAAACCATTCCGTTAATAGAATACAAAATTCAAATTAAAAATCAAATAAGCAACGGAATAACATAAAAAATAAATAAAATTTAAAAAATAGAATAAAGTGTTATTTTTATGTTTGAAATTATTTAGTCATAAATTTTGCCTTTAAAAATTCTAGATTGACTGGAAAGCAAAAATTGCTAAGAAAAATTCAATTACTTCAAAACTGTAGTAAAAAATTTCTTATGAGATGTGGAACAAAGAAATGAACTAGGAGAATAGTCATTAATGCTATGACAAAAGTCATGTAGTTAGCCTTGCTGGTGATGATATCAAAAATATCATCAGTAATTATAAAGGAAATGCAGTTAAATTATAAGAAGAATTATAAGAAATGCTTTGGCTTTGAGTTTAAAAAAAAATATGAAAATGCAGTTTTTAACTACCCTTAACTGAAGCCTAGCATTAAATGAAATAATGTATCAATACTTTGACAAAAAACAAGTTTAACAATGATGGGCCTAACTTTAAACTTTACTGTATAACATTTAAATCAAAAAGGCATATTTTTCCAAACCAATATGTTAGAGGATTTGTTATGATTTGAACCAAGCTATCTAACCAAAGAGCTAAGCCAGTTGTCTTTATCTGAGCAAAAATTCTAAAAAGTATCAAAACATAATGGCAGACATTCTGTTCCCAAATGCACCAAATGTCTGTCACTTATGCATTGACCAAAGCTTGGTTTGCAACTGATGTGAAAGTATTTGATCAGTCAAATCATAGCCTTGGTCTATATAATATCTATGGGTATTTTAGTTTGTGTTGCTTACAAAAATTTTCACTAGTTTAAGTTGAAGGAAATACTCATTAATGTAATATAAATTGCATGATTAGAAATGTTTGTTTTATATAATTTCAGTAATATGATTGATTAAATTTATCAAGTAAATAATTGATTTTATTTGAGTTTATTTAGTTATTGAACTTGTTTATATTGCTTTCACTTGAAACAGTACATTATTTCATTTCATTGTTTAAATGAACTGAATTAAAGTTTAAAATAAACTGTTAGTCTATATAAAGTCTATTACATACAGTCATATCTCAGTATCTGAATTCACTGTATCCAAATTCCTGCTCCAGTTAATGCTCATCATGATATCTGAATCAAAGAAAATCCTGATATTATTAATTTATTTGAAACACATCTAATGAAAAAATGAGAAAGTTGTACAGTAAAAATAAAAAAATAGAAAGTGATGCTATTCTCAATATTAATTCTTGTCTGTTAAGTGATTTTTTTTTATTTTTAGTGTAATCCTAAATATACACATTGTCAGATGGCATTAAAAACCATCTGATAGTGTATGTATCTAGTGTTATATAATATTTTGTGTGAAGTTTAGCATACTATTTAAGAATAAGCTCATAGGATTACACTAAACAGTTTATTATAGTAGATTCACTACTATATTTGTATTGGTATTCTATTTTAATATGGTAATAATATAAAATGTAGAGAGTTATTGTTTTCATTGCTGTCTACTGCATATTAAAGAAGATTCAGTTCATATATAGTTTCTAATATAAATACTAAACAAGCATTTTTGTTATGTTACTGCTTACAAATATGTGCTCTAATGACATAAGTGTTTGTTAGTAAGGTAATTAGTTTTTAATGTTTAATATGTTGCTAACATCATGGATTGATAAGTAAATAGATATTTCTTTGTGTTTTTTTCAGTGTTTTAGTGTCATTGGGTAAATTAGTTGATTATTTGGATGAACTGAGAATGAGTAGACTTTTTTCCATAAGAAATAATGAAAAGCACTTTCTGATATCTGAATTTTTGATATTTTAATCATTTTTAGGAACTTGTTAGATTTGGATACCAATTGATATTACCTAATGATTATCAATATATTAATAATTGGTGATCAACAGCTTTACATTTTTCAAATTATTGTAGATTGCTGCTTGATCTTATACTTTAATTAATAGACCTTACATAGTTTTAACTTAACAGTGTATGTGAAAATGGTACAGTACAGTACAGTACAGAGTATGAGTACAGTACAGAGTTTTATAACTTTTCTCCTCTGAATTTGCTGAAATAATTTGTTATAATATATATATGTTACAATTAGCATTTTACCTAATTTTATAAATATTTATTTAATGTAATGATCAATTTTCAAACATAATTAAGTCTTTGAGATAGGACAAGAAAATAAAAGATTTGAGAATAATTACATCTTGAGATTCATCTCTTTGAGTCATTGCTAGTATAAAATTTTATATGATTCATAATAAATAATTCAGACTTCATGATTGAGCTGGAATGAGAATTCAAAAGGAAATGAAAAGATAGAATAAAGAAGTTGAGTGATAGATAGCTATAGGAGAGTATAATGTTAATAAAAGGATCATCTTATTCTCTGAGTCAGGCAGCCATTAAGACAATTAATTCTGTTCAAGTTAAATCTAGACTGATGTAGAATTGTAAAATTTTAACAAACTGGCTTTCAATAACAAGGGGTCCAGGACATTCTGGAATAAAAGGAAATGAAAATGCAGATAGATTTACTAAGCAAGGGGCATCTTCACCTATGACTGATTCAGGACCTTTGTGGGATTGCAAGAAGTAACATTAAAGTGTTTTAAAAGACTGGAAGTTGAAGGAAATTGCTGTGGAATGGAATGTGACTATCAAATTGAAGATGATTGATATCTAGTGCTCTTTTACAGAACACCAAAAATTATGAGATTTGTGAGAAATTTTACTTTGTGTATGGGGATGATGATAGGAAACACTCTTCCCCATTATGAGCTCTTTATTATACTTCAAAAGCACAAATTTTTCTGATGACTTCAGTGACCTATGTATTTTTTTTTTTTAAAGATTTTATTTATTTATTTTTTTGGATTACCCAAGTAACTTCAGCAGTTTTTGTAGAAGCTTTTTTTTTCTGTATAAATTTTGTAATGAAATAAACAACAAAAGCACACTGTGATAAATAAAATGTACAGTACATCCACCATAAACCAAAAACAGTGAAAGCTGTATAGTTGAGTTAACGCACCGTTTTTGGTTTATGGGGGATGTACTGTATGTCTAATTCTGTAATGGACATAATATAAGGTCTGAGTAACTAATAGACATTTTTCTGCAAATAAAAAGCATTTCCTCTCATCCCTTTAGTTGTAAAAGTAGGGAAAAAACCATGACTTAAGTTATTTCTTTACCCCATAGATGGATAGGTAAGGATGAAAACAAACATCAAGTAAAAAGAAAAAAAAAAAGAAATCTTTATTAGTTCATATATCACCTATTAGGTGATATATGAAATCTTTATTAGTTCATATATCACCTATTAGGTGATATATGAACTAATAAAGATTTCTTGTTGTTAAGGAGGATGAGATTTATTTTTTTAAGATACATTACAAAGTTATGTCATAATGTTATTGAAGTTACATAATCATTTAGTCAGAGAGGTGTTTCTGTTTACCCCAAATTATGATATTCTGCTTGTAAATTTTTCAAAGTTATAATAAAAACATCTGTAAATAACAAATGTCATTTGTTAAAAATTCAAATTTTCTAAATAACAGTTCATAAACATTTATTAGACACTTATTTTGATACATAAAAAAATTTTTAATAGAAACAACTTTACTGTAAAAATTTTGAATATATTTAATTATCTATTATGTTGATGGTAAAGAATGTTTATTAATTGTACAAAATTATATTTTATGAATTTTTATAACTCTGATAATTATTATTGAAATTAGAACAAAATGGAAGATTTAATGAGAGCTTTGCCAGATAACCGTCCAGTGACATCAATTTGTATTGTTGAAGATCCTGGTAAATGTCCAGCAGGATTTCAAGTGGTATGTTAAGAGAAATCAATGATATTTCTTTTTTGAATAACAGTAATATATTAAATTATTTGTATACTTTCTGTACATGTATGCCTTATTCTACTGATTTTATATGTATACTTTTTTGAAATTTGTTGTCTTTCTAAATATCAAATTTTTAAAATTACATTTTAATTTGACTAATGCTAATAAAAATTCTAATTTCTACAAGATTTCCCCAGCCAGATACACAAAAATTGGAAAGATACAGCATGAGATCTCTTCAATATAGTAAAGTTATCAGAAACATAATCTATATATATAAAAATGGACGTGTGTGTGTCCCTATATTTCACTTTTCAGCCAAAACTACACATCGCACATGAATGGTGTTTGTATGTAGTAGTAGCCCCATGTCTCCATTCGTGCACTATGGTGGTTGCATCTCGATAGCTATAAGGGTGTGGGAGATATGGGGGCTTAAAGTGGTTGACTTCGAAGATTTTCTATTTCGATTTTAAAAATGTTCGAACTGTTTTAAATTCGAATTTGAATTCAATTCGAATTGGTTCGATTATAGAACAATTGTAAACATTCCAGAAAATTGATCAAATTGAAAATAGTTTGTTTGACTGGACGTAAAAATTCTCTAATTAGTCAGGAAACGGGGGACCTAATTCTTGCGTTCTGTGCTATAAGGGTGTGGGAGATATTGGGTTGAAAGTGGTTGACTTCGAAGATGTGTAACAATGGAAGTGTCAACAATGGAAGTGTCAACAATGGAAGTGTCAACAATGGAAGTGTCAACAATGGAAGTATCAACAGTGGAAGTGTTTAGTAACAAAGAAAGTGTTAATATAAAGCGGTATGCAAGATTTACAGGCGGTTTTTTGCGTTTTTGCGGGAAATCGAACATATTTTTAGACTCGTGTAAAAATTCTATAATTAGTCTGAAAAATGGGGACCTAATTCGTGCATTCTGTGAAAACGGGTAAGATTGGCTATAATATAATTATCTTAATCTTCACTATTGTTACTTTTTGCCTAGCGAAGCAGATTCTTGCAGCTAGATTCTAGATTACTTAGAAAAACAGTCTTTTATATATAAAAAAAACTATATTACATACAAATAAAACCCAGTGAAGCGGGTCCTTGCAGCTAGTATTCTATAATCTTTATCTTATATTCACAAAATACATTGTAGTGTTAACAACAATATACTTATATAACAAACGAACTGATAAATATACTATTAATAAAACACACCTTTAATAATCCAGCTAATAAAAATTTATAATATAATAACGTTTTCAATCGTTTCTTAACGATCTTCTTCAGTTACCATAACATAGAATAAAATCAAACACAAAAAAGAATGTAAATACGAAATTAAAATATAAATAACGGCAAAGTAGATAAAAATAAACGAAAAATAAAAATTAATCCGAAAAAATGTCCCTTAACAAATAAAAATAAATAGTCATTAATTCTTGTAAAAGGATCGCCATGTGGTAGGTAAAGAGTCCGCGTCTCTATGGTTGATGCAACAAGTTTTCTTGTGTGCCTTAAAGATCTCTAATTTCTCCAGATATTTCATTGTATGTGAATTTGTCGTAGGTTTAATAATTTCTACCTGATCCCAATGGACTTGAATGTCGTGTTGCGTTGTGTAAGACGATAGCGCGGTGTTGTCAAGTTTCTTATTAATCATATATTTATGTTCTTTGATACGTTGTTGCAATTTGCGCATTGTTGCGCCTACGTAGACAAGATCCAAATTAAAACGCTGATTGTGTAATGGTATAGAATAGATTTCTGATGCCGATTTCCAGTCATAATGCTTCTTATCGTTTCTTAATAGCTTGAAAACTGTAGGATTGCGTCGATATACTACACTGAAATCATTAGCCTTGGCCGTTTCTTTATGTATTTGTCTCAAAAACGGGACATAATTTAAAACCATCTTTTGTCTACGGTCTACTGTGGGATGTCGTTGTTTAGTTGTTTGGAAGGTTGTAATAAGATTCTTTATGATTTCCTTTTGGTATCCCTGTTGTTCCGCAATCTTTAGAATGTAGTTTAGCTCCGCCATTGTGTCTTTTATACTAGAACAGTGTGTATAAGCCCTTTTTATCCAGGACCTAAAGGCCGCCAATTTGATGTGATGCGGATCGATTGAATTATGCGGAATTAAAGTGGGTTGATAGCATGGCTTTCTGTATATGCTGGTTCTGATTTCTCCCTGTCTGCAAGCGATGGAAATGTCCAAAAAATTTACAATACTATCACTCTCCTGGTCCACTTGTAGTAATAAACCGTAAGGGTTATTATTGATCCTATCCAAAAATTGCTGTAGGTTAGGTTTTCGTTGCCACAAGATGACTATATCGTTGACGTATCTGGCGTACAAAATGATAAGGTGTTGGAATTTGGGTAGAATTTTGTTTTCGAGTTGCCGTAAGACCAACTCACATAGAATCGCTGATGTGGGACTACCCATCGGTACGCCTCTTCCCTGCAAATATAATTCGTTCTCAAACTCAAAAAACAATGGCAAAAATTTTGAATAAAAAAATATTTACTCTCTTAAAATGTTTTAATTATTAAAAAAGTAAAACACTACTAAAATCTACAAGGCATATATTGTTAAAATAGATGGTTTTTACTTTCGCGACCAAAATAAAAGTCAAATTTTTGTTATTAATACATACTATATTTTAATCTTAATTATTAATAACAAATTTGGATTTATTTGTAGATCAATAATACTGTCACCAGAATAAGTTGCTGAACATTAAAATTGAGGGACAAATTGTTTCTGCACTTTTTTTGATATTGTTTGTTAATGCCTGTATTAAAACTAAGAATTGTTATATGGCAGAGGTTATGTGAAAAGAATTTGTACAATTTTGGAAATATAATTTTATTGATTAATTAAATTTTAAATAATTATTATTATTTTCAAATTATAATTATTAAATTATTATAATTTGTGTGTAGATTTACTTAATATAGAAAATATTTTCAATGTTACAGACAATATCTGTCAAAAGATAGATGAATATGACAGTGAAAGAAATCCAGTCTGTAACTCCTAAATGAACTAAAAATGATAGTATTTTTATTTTATTAATCTAAAAGAATGATTACTGGCTAAGATTCTTGGATATCATTTTTGTTGTATTTGATAATTTGATATGCAAACTGACTGACTTACAAGAGATGCAATCAAAAAGTTCTGGAACTCTGTGTATAAAAAGCACACAACATATTTTATTTAGCTTTGATAGTCATCACCTTTTAAAATAGTTGTCTTCTGCATGAATGCATCAATTCCAGTGTTTCTAACATGCTTGGAATGCTTCCTGGAAGTCCCATTCTTGGAGGGTGTCAAGCACCATCTACAATTTGCACTAGATATCCTCTACTGTATCAAAATGGTGGCCCTTCAACTTGAAATTCCTGTTTTGGAACAAGAAGTCAAGGGGTCATCATAAAATGCTGATGGAGATCCACAAAGATTTGGACATAATGTGACTTCTGTTTGGGGCTCAGGAACCTGGACACAAACTTTGCTGCAATGCTACACATGTTCAGTTCAGATATCAAGATCACCTGCATTGTTCCATGCAACATTGATTGACCTTGGTGACAATGTCCTTGATGGTTATCTGATGATTCTCATACACAAAATGTCAAATGTTCTCAACAGTTTCAGGAGTTGTCCTCATGGAGGATCAGTCTGACTTATCCTTGTCCTCAAGTGTGCATGCCACCAGAAACATCTTGCCTCATTGGTTCATTGCTTTATTGTTGTAGGCTTCCCAAAGCATTTCAAGGATCTCTGTTGCTGTTTCTCCAATTTTACACCAAATTTGATGTTAGCTCTCTGCCCAGTTTCAAATCCCTGATGAGATTGCAAAGGCACACTAGGACATTGTTGATAATTTGTGTAACACAATCTCCTACCAACATAGCACATTGCCACTTTGCATACTGACTTACGGACACCATATGTCTCTCTTGCTGTATACTCTTGACTGTTCTGCACCCCTTTGCATTGCTAGACTTAGTCTTGGAACTTTTTGATTGTCTCTCCTAATGTTATGGATTATCATTATTATAAGATTATTATGACATGTTATAACAAGATAAGTTTAGATTTTTTATTTTTTTGGATTAAATTATTTAAAATTATTAATAAATTTTATTAATTTAATGTAAAATGTAACAATTACAATGGATTTATTTGTATGTACAGACAGTACTTGACTTTTGTATGTACTGCACTCCTAAAAATTTATATGAAAGTCAAATGTCTAGTGAAGCAATAGTGTTTCATGTTATAAAGAGGGTTCCATTTTCAGAGAGCTAAAAATAAAAACTGTAAAATCGCATAGGATATGAAACTTAGTTTTTTACAGTGAATATGTAACAAAGTGTAAAGAATTATTTAAAATGTTTGAACTATAAATTAAACATAAAACATACAATAAAAATTAATTTTTGCAAACAATTTTGATTAAAGTTCATACTCTATGGAAGAGTGGAACACACATGTATCAATGAACTTAAATTTCAGAAGTTTAATGCTAGTAAACTGGGGACAAACATTTTCAATATTTGTGAGAGCTCTTCATCAGGTCTGGTGTTCTAATTTAGAATGTGAGAAAAAGAATGTTATGTAATATGAAGTTTTGAAAAAAGGAATGTATGAGGTATTAATATAAATAAAACTCAATTAACTATACATGAACTTCTGGTCTGAATCAGACCAGAAGTCACTTGATTTTAGTTCAAAATTTTTACCTTACTATATAAAGTGATAAATTTGATATAGAATTGATTTTTATGATAATTAAAATTAAAGTATTTTAATTGTAGTTCTGCATTGTGATGATGTCACAATAAGTAAATTTGAATTTTGTTTATAAATAGTACAGCTAAAGGAAAAAGATATGCAAATGTTTATTCAAACAGTTTTAGTAATTTTGATTAAAATAGTAAGTTTAAAAAAAACTTTATAATTCAAGTATGGTAAGACAATATAAGTGTTAAGAGAAAAATCTATATATATAAAATTGCTTGTCCTGACTGACTGACTGAATGACTCACTGATTCATTATCGCCCAGAGCAAACCGCTGGACCTAAAGAGGAGAAATTTGGTACACAGTTAGGGTACGTCATGAAAACGCACACTAAGAAGGGATTTTTCGAAATTCCCATGTGGGGGGAGAGGGAGAGCATTAAGGTTTAACCGGAAGAACGGCTTCTACTGTACTATTTTAGATGCGATTTTTTTGTTTTTATCTGCGTTTTAGTGGGATACGCCATGGCAATGCACACTAAGAACGGATTTTTAGAAATTCCCCCGCGGGGGGTGAGGGAGAGCATTAAGGCTTAACTGGGAGAACTGCTTCTACTGTACTATTTTAGATGTGATTTTTTGTTTTCAACTACATTTAGTCTTCATTGAGTACTTAGGTGTATTAAATTGATAACATTTCAGACATTGTTATAAATATTTTTATTCATTTCGATTTTAAAAATGTTTGAACCGTTTTAAATTCGAATTTGTTATTGCATATTGGTTCGATTATAGAACAAATGTAAATGCTCCAGAAAATTGATCAAATTGAAAATAGTTTGTTTCATTCTCGGCAATTCTCTTCAGCTGTAGGTGTTATATAGACCTAACAATTACTATGGTTATTGAAATATTGAATGTAAATGGGGTTTGCTTGCAAAACCTCTGCAGACAAAGTTGCGGGTAACAGCTAGTATTCTAATATTTTTAAAGCTTTGATGTAAGGAAGTTAAAATTACATATGTTATTATTTTGGAATATAATTTCTTTAGATATAATTTTATAATTTTGATAAAATATAAAAATTTTAAAAGGTAAGTACAGGCATACCTCGACTTACGTTGTTTCAAGTTACGTCGTTCCCGATTATATGTCGTTTGTCAAAAAAGTATATGGAAAAATAAAAATCAAATTTAAGTCATTTTACGTCTTTCAAATCAAATTTAAGTCCGACTTTACGTCTGTCTGCCACAAATATTGAAGTCGTAATATCACTAGAAAAATGTTTAAAGCACATAAAATCATATTAAAATATATACATTCACAAGTATGTACTGTATTTACAGTACATGCATTCGTAAATTTAGATGACTTTTTTTCTGTACTATATTAAAAACTAAAATTTATTTGTTTGTAAGCTTAAAATAGATTTTTATTAACCATATATTATTAAAATGCATTAATAAATAAAATACAGAACTGGGAATGGTAACTTACGGTTTAGCTTAGTAGATAAGTAGATTCGGAGACAAGTAAATTCGACTTACGTCGTTCTCCTGGAACCAATTACCGACGTAAGGCGAGGTATACCTGTATTCCTATTAAGTAGACCCAAAAAAACTTTTTAAAATTATTTGATTTAATTTCTTTATGAACATCTGTGTAAAATTTTACCGTTAAAAAATGTTTATCGTTTGTAATTTATAATAATTAACACTGATACTGGATTCAAATTTTTTTTAAATCTTAATATCTCTAAACCATTCAGTACAAGAATATAGATTGTTTGTTTGAAAAACACTTAGTTTGTTAAATGAATAGTTATTACTTTAAAATGTTTGTTTTTAAGATATCAAAGTAGTTATTCTAATTTTAAAAATTTTATAAATAATAAATATGAAATACTTGTGATTAATAGTAATTTATATTTGTATTAGTATGCCTGTAATCTGAATGTGCCATAATTAAAAAGCAAAATTATTTATTAATAAAATTGCTAGGATGATAAGTAGGTTTAAAAAAAAAACTTTTTTAAACATTAGGAGAGAGAATATATTAAAAATGTTTTTGCATTTTTTTTTAAGTTCCTTGTTGTCCTGGCAATTTTATTAGTATATTTTTATAATTATGCCATCAGCAAAGGGATATTTTTAACATTTTACACATACAGGTGGATGAGACCCTCAAGATAAAGATTAACTCCACTATAAAACTTAATTTCCTGAAATGTAAAAAAAAAAAAGAACAAAATGTGAAGACATTTTAAATATATTATTTCTTTTAATATTTTTGTGAATTTTTAAGTAAAATATTTATTCTTAATGAAATGTCTATAATTTAAAAATAATATTTAATTTTTAGATTTTATTTTGTTTATTTTACATCTTGCAAACATTGTAGTATAAATATATATTTCATTTAAGTGTTTATTGTTGTAGAAACATCATTTTGTTTTTAAACATTGCATTGATACAAATTTAAATAAAAATAAATTCTGGTTTTGGGATTTATTAATAATTAAATAATTTAGATAATTAGAACTCATGTTTTTAATTGCATTCTAGGTAGACAAGACATTTGATCAGGATACTGATGCTGATTTATGGAAAGATGGATTTTTCAGAAGAATTACAAGATACATCTGTATATCAAAACAAGAAGTAAATATATATGTATTTAATTATAGTAGAGTGTCATTTATCCAAATCAATTGGGGACTGAGGTTGTTTGGATAACTGGTTATGTATGAAAAAATATATTAACCTATCCAATATTGAAATATTTCTCCGTTGCATGTCGCTTGGCGTTGAATTTTCGTCGACGTTAAGCCTAACATAAACTTTTTAAAATAATAATCGTGGCTATTGTATCATTAAAAATTATTTCATTTTTTACAAACAAAATAAATATATTGAAAAATATAAAAACAAAAAAATATATATATATACTTTAGAAGTTAATCTAGTATCAAAAACATTCAATTCAGCATGACACACAGTCCTTAGAAAAACACCACACAAAAGTGTCAGTGCTGCCAGCTAGAACACATACACAAACAAAAAATATTGGAGTAGCCCAAGACATAGCCAAAGATTGCAGCACCACAGCACTAGCGAAAATTTAAACTTGTCAACTCTGTAGGTTTGCTTTGGCACATCCAGAATGTGTGGATGGATTATTTCTCATCAACTGCTGCTGCACTCCTTCCGGTTGGACAGAATGGGGTTATCAGAAATTAAATTCCATGTATTTACACTCTTCTGGAATGACTGCTTCTACTCAGGAATATCTGATGTGGCATCATTTTGGAAAAGTCACAGAAGAAAGAAATCATGATCTCATTCAAGTTTATCGACAGTATTTCAATAAATCAATAAATGCTAAAAATTTGGCAATGTTTATAGACACTTTTTTGTCAAGAAATTCTTTTCAATAACTGACGTTTCGGATAACAGACTTTTGGATAAACAACGCTCTACTGTAAATATTTAATAAAAGTTTTTTTAGCCAAAACATAAGTATAAACTTTACAGAAAATATGATAATTTGTGTCTTTTAAAGTAAATTTTTTCTATCCACAAGTTCCCAGAGATGGTTTATGTATTTTCCTGTATTGTACTAACACCACCATTGCGCCGCCATTAAGATACTGCAAGAACAATGAAACCGCAGAACTATACATTTGAGAATGTAGTTGATTCTGAAATAACCAATAGAAATTCATTCATAATGATCCCTTTGTTAGTAATTGATAAGAGTTTCATATTTTAAATTATAAACAGAGTATTTTCAATTGTTATTACACAAGTTTAAATTTTTTTCTAACATAAAGGAAAAAAAGCATGCTATTTGTGTGGTGGGAAAATATGTTTTAAAACTGATTTAAAAAAAATTAAAGTAAAATTAACAAAATCTAAATCTTATTTTAAAAATTTTTATCTCTCAAGAAAATAATTGGCAAAATTGGCTTCTATAATTTTTACTAATATTCCACTGTTATTATCTATCAGGAAATACTTTTATATTACTGTTTAATTCATAAAGTAGTACAAAATATTCACAGAATATCATAGAATTAAGTTGAATGCAAAGTTTTTGGATTTTGTATAGTTTATTCTACAAACTTGTATTTTCTAATTTATTTTCAGATGAACATTGTATTCACCAAATAGTACTATAAAATCATGGAATAACAACATGAGATAATGGCCACCTTTGTTATTACAGTCGACCCCCCCATAACACTGTTGATTTTTCCGTTTTATATGAATTCCATGTTGTATGAGTCACTTAGATTTTACAAATACATGAGCCGTTCACAGCCTGGCACACATATTTGTAAAATCTAAGTGACTCGTACAACATGGAATTCATAAAAAACGGAAAAATCAACAGTGTTATAGGGGGTCGACTGTATATCCAGCTATATTTGAATACCTTATTAAAAAGTAAAGCCTTATGATTACCAAGAAATGCTTAATTATAGGAGTCTTGACTCTTATAATTATTTTTCAAGTGGCAACTTTACCAGTTGAAAAATATATCAATTAAAATTTCATCTGACAAATTTGTGTCCTTAAACACAAACCCTATCTTCAAGTAATCATTTTGTGTGGACTTGTGTGTCTAATGATGGCAAAGTTATTTATTCAGCTGGATGTACATGTATAGCTATTTACTCATTTTCTTCTTAAATTTTCATCAAGTGGAAATGAATGTAACTGGAACGGTTGAATAGATGGATAGTCTTGATGCATCATGTTTTTGTGTGTATCGCATACAGCTTTAAACCACATATAAATAACTGTCTGGCTATTATGGCAGCCAACCACTGCACAATATCTATCTGAACTGGTTTTATAAGGCATGTCACCAATGGAAAACTAAAAATTGCAGACCTACTCTAATGACTAGCAATATCTTAATGGCTGCCAAGACATACACCCTCATGTAGCAGAATTCAAAAACATGTTCTGGAAACTTGTGGATAAATGTAATATAAATTTTTCACTTTTTAAAGTAAACAACAAATTATTTTTCAAATAGTTTATCTAAAAAAAGAGGATTGCTGTACATGTATAAATAATAAAAGTAGAAAGGATAAGATCCAATTCTATGTTTTCTGCTATCTGGTATATTATATCCCTCAAAAACTTTGTTCTCACTTATGCTCCTCAAAGGTGAAAAGGATGTAGCTCCATAAAAATTGAAAATTGAGTTGTGCAACTGTCATCATATCTAATTAGTATCTTTTATCAATACCACCCAATATTCTGTATGAGAAATGTTCTGTAATTGTTAAAAATGTTTTTCATGCTATATATTGGGCAGTATCAATAAAGGTTACTAATTAGATAAGTGTGCAACTTGACTTTCAGTTGTTTTGAACATATAGCCCTTTGTCTTTAGGTGGTACACTTAAGGAACAATTATTTGGCTGTTACTGTTGCCAAATTCAAATATTCTTGCATTTCTAACTATTGAATACTGAACATTTGGGCAAATATTAGCTGATTTATTTGAACTGCCTGAAACAGAATGTTTAGACTCTAAGCTTTAGAATAAGTTGGAAGGCAACATCTATTCCATAGTAATAATTGTTTAAAAATAAAAACATATACAATTATTATTATGTAATGAAAATTAAAAAATTAAGTCTTACCACTGATGCCTGTCATTTTTGGCAGCCTCACAAAGTAGTATATTTAGTGAACATAAGTACTGTACATTCAACACTGTAAATATTTGTAGAAACCAACAAAATCACTTACTTCCTATGAATGCAGAAACATTAATATTTCTTTGTTACAGTTTATCATGTAAATTATGATTTATAAATGATCTTGAGCAAATATTATTTATTAATAAAGCTATATTTGTTTTGGAAAGGAATAAATCATAATATTTTTAAATATTTAAGATTTTGAATGTCTTCATTCTATTTTGTGTTTCATCTTTCTTTTTCCTTCCTTGACTCTGTTTCACTCCCCAAACTGAAATGACATCATTTATATAGAAAATATATTTCTTCTTGACTATACATACATAGATGAGTCTTTGTCTACTTTCTGTCCTTTCACACGCTGTACAAGGCAATAACAATTCCACCGGCGAAGTCAACCTTTTTCTGTAGGCTACCGTTTGCCGTAAAATGTAAAACAGGTTAAAAACATCCTCTAGCGGTGACTTAACAAATTAATAATTACATTTGCTAAAATTAAAAAATTGCCAGGACAAATTATGACATTTATATAAATGTATGTATAGTCAAGAAGAAATATATTTTCTATATAAATGTCATAATTTGTCCTGGCAATTTTTTAATTTTATGAAATGACATCATTTTGCCATTTAGTTTGGCTTTGAGGATGTATTCAATTTAAATATCAAATATGTGTGTTTAGTATTTAGCCAAATACTTAATAGTTAATTTTTGGCCAAAAATACCTGAATACTGAATGATGATAAAAATTCAATCCTACACTAATCGTAAGTATTATTGTATAGCAAAAGCAAGATAGTGATTTTTTCCTCATTGAAAATTAAATGGAACATTAAATCTTTTGATTAATTAAAGTTAAAACATATTATAAAGTTAGTGATAAAATAATTAAAGAAATGGAAAAAGAGAATAAAATAATTTATAAGTAAAAATATATTGTCAAATTAATGAAATATATAGCATTATTAAAGTATTTAATGTTTTATAATTTTATAATGTCAATAACTTTTTCATTGAAAAAATAATAGTTTTCAGTTTATGATGAAAAAATAAACTAGGGAGAGAAGAAAGAAAGTTTTATGTAAAATTGTGATTATTTAATAGATTTTTAAAATTTGATTTAAAACAACAAAGGGTGTCCTAAAAATTATGATAGATACATAGGAAAATTTGACTCTATAAAAATATTTTTACATGTGTGTAATTTCTTTCTCAATGCATATCTCTCTCTCCTATTCAAGCTGAAATAAGGTCACATATCAGATATTAAGCACTTAATTGATCTTCAAATGCATTTCTATAGATGATCCCTATTTTGAATTTTTTTCTTCTGGTACACTAAAGCCTTTAAGTGCTTTCATACATAAAAATGAAGATAGGTAAGGTCAGGGAACTTTGAAGGCTCTCATCATGGGATGATGACGACAAATCCACAAACCTAGAAACTGATGATCTGGTTTTTCAATCTATTTAACTTTTGGGACACCCTATATAAGAAATATTTGCTACACTTGAACAATGAAATTATGATGATTTTAAAGTAAGTAGAAAAAATTCTTATTTCAGTGGCAAACAAATGAAGTTATAGAATCTCTAACAATTATTGGCGAAAAAGATTCCCCTCCTGATGATTTTACACTATTAATGTACACACGAGATACTGGTAAGAATTTATATATTTTCTAATTCCTTTCATTAATAGAAAAAGAAAGTATCTTTAATATCTAAACATTTATTATTTTTAATCTAATATGTAAGTAAATCTTTTTTATATAATAATTCTAGATGTAATTAATTTGTCTTGTTATTTATACTGTTTTGTGTATTCATGCTTGCATTACTTGTTTATCATACAATTAGTAAATTATTTTTGTTTAAGTAATATATATGTTTGTTTAAGTAATATATATGTTTGTTATATGTTTAATATATTAAGTTGTTGCAAATGAAATAGCCAATTTTTACCTCTGACTTTGAACATTTATTAATTTAATTTAAAACTTACATATTTAATCAAAATTGTCTCTATCAATATTAATACACTTTCCCAATGCAATAGAAATTCATTAATGCCAATTTGATAGAAATCATGAGATTGGGAAGTCAAAAAGTCAATAAAGGTACTTTTTATTTCATACTCTTCCTTGAAAGACTTCCTTTGCTAAAAACTGTCCAAATGTATAAAAAAAAAAGTGAAAGTCTGTTGGCAAAAAGTCTGGAGAATAAGATGGATAGAGAAAAATTTCATTTGAACACTTTCATTTTTGTGATGAATAATTAAAGAACTGCAGATCTCCAAATGATGCTCCTTATCTCTTATGTAACTGCTTATACTCATAAAAGAAAATTATTCAATTTCCTGTTTTTCCATGTTGTCAGAAAAAGTACTCTTAAATGTGTGTTTTTTTTTTTTTTTTTAATTTGCATATTTTATAAGTACTCTTCTAATTGCAAACATATAGCACTGTTGCTTGAAAAAAAGTTGAACTACAAGACCAGAAAGTTTAATTTTTTAAAAAATTGCTATTTTATTTGTAACACCCAATACATGTAATATAGTTAAATTTTAATATAATATTAATGTAGTATAGTTTCTTTTCGAGCTAATACATAGATAAGATGTGAATATAAGCAAACAGCATAGCATCATGTTTATATATTGAATAACTCATTTGTTCTGTTTTACTGTTAGTGATAATTATGAGTAAGTAGTCTGGTTATTAATTTATAGATTGTACAAATGATTTTTATTAAATTATTTTTATAGAACAGAGAGCAACACGAAAGAAACATTTATGCTACAAATTAATGCCAAGAGATAATGTTCAAATTGCTGTAACTGATGTTATAGTATTGAGTAGATGGAAAAAACCTCCAGCTGGATTCACTTTAGCAGGGTAAAAAATTATTTTAAACATATTTTTCTTCAGTTATGTAACAAAGCAGGATATTTTTCTTTTGTTAAAACAAAAAACTTTTTTTAAATACAAAAGCAAATCTTACAACAGAAGCAAACTTTAAACAAACATCAAAAACTATACAATATATGTACTATATAAAATACATGTACAATATATATGTAAAATCTATACAATAATGTTTCTACCACTAATGTTGAGTTATTGACTCAACCTTTTAGTTGACAAATAAAAAAATCCAGGAGTGAGTTGCATAACTTTCCCAGCAAGAGTTAAAATTGTTTATGGTACCATCTGAGATTTTATTTTAAGAAACTTTTTATATTATTAATTATTATAAAATGATAAAAATCTTAATTTTGATGGTAGAGATGAGATTTTTATTAAAAAAATGTGAATTCTAATAACAAATAAAATCTTCATTAAGACTTACTCCACTTAAAATATGATACGTGACCGCCTCTCTCTCTCTCTCTCTCTCTCTCCACCCACTTGACCTTTGACCACAAAATTTTAACAGCATCAATCCCCCTAATAAGCAAACTTCCCTAGAAAATTTCAGAAATAAGGCATAAGAGTTATTTAAGTTTATTATTAAGTAAGAGTTATTTAAACAAAATTATGCTCCCCACAAACAGTAACATCCATATATATAGTAAAAAACTTCCAATTTTTCTTTTAGGACAAACTTTTTGTCTGTTAAGTGTGATTCTGTTAATTGAGGACCTACTATATAGGTAACTTTAATATTAAGAACAAAATAATGACCAAACTTGCTTCAGTGTTGTTAAAATCTTGCTTTAAATTTCTTCTTTTAAATCTAGCAAAAGAATTTAACTATGCAACTAATAATTAAATTCATATTTATAAGTTTGGTTATTCCATTAATTCTGTTATACATATATTGTGTAATTGCCTTAAGCCCTGGTCACACTATGTGATTTTCAGCCGCATAGGCGACTGCAACTGCGACGGCTGTTCCCATTAACTAGTAATCCCCCCTCAAACCGGCACGACTGCAACCATAACTAAAAACAAAAAGTTTGTTCTACTTGCGACAATTGCAAACGTGCATCCAATCAACAAATGCCTTTGTGACACGTCATATAGTGACAACATTGAAAATAGTTCATCATCATGGCGAATAGTTAGAAGATTAATACTTTACAGAATCAAAATTGATCGAGCTTATTCAGGCTCACGAATACCTGTGGGATTTTAATTCTTTGTTTTATCGAAGATTTTATCTTTTCATGTATTCGCGCCAGCTCTATCAAAATAATCGCCTTTTTTCTTTTATTCATTCCAGAAAAGGAACTGTTTGCTATTTTAATAAGAAAAGTGGCTAAAATTCCATAAATACAGAGTCACGTGTTTCCGAGTTGCAATGTCAGCGAGCAATGTGTGACCATGAGAAGAAGCGTGCAACTCACTTGTTGCAGTTGCAGTCGCTTGCACAGCTAGAAATCGCATAGTGTGACCAGGGCTTTAGATTAGACTTTGAACTATGTTTACCAGGACTAAGAGTTTTTAGAGGAAATCTCAGAAACAAATTCATAATTTAATAAATACATAAAAATATAAATATGACTTTTTTACAAAGGTAAAACCTTGTGTTTGTCCTTCTTTTCGACAGACAAATGCAATTCTTTTTGTGAATTTGTTAAAATGTTAACAAATTCATAATTTTTTAATACTTAAAAGAAATTAGTACAGTGGTACCTCAGGTTACGAACGCCCCAGCATATGAAATTTTCAGGATATGACATGAAATTCGAACATATTTTTGCTTCACGATACGAACAAAAACTCACCATACGACGTTACATTAGTTCGCATTTTTTATTTGTTTTTCTTACTACAGTTATTTTTTTTAATGTATTACTTGGCTTTAATTTGAGTATGTTTTTCGCGTTGAAACGAATTATTTGGTTTTACATGTAATCGTATGGGAAAAGATGATCCACCTTACGACATTTTCATGATACGATCTCAGTTTCGGAACGGATTAATTTCGTATTCTGAGGTACCACTGTATTTAATTACTGTAAATTTATAACTTGTATTAAAAATGGGTTAAAATGAAAATATTAATTTAAAGCAGTGTTTTTCAACCTTCTTGAATATGCGACCCCTTTACAAGTTAAAAAATTCTGGCAACCCCTAGGGCCATATTAAAACTATATCAGTGATTTTAAAAACTATGTATTTAATTTTGTTTCTGTTGAGACAAATTATTGTTGATTAAAATGAAAATTTCAGAAGAATCGACAATAACTTAACACACATAAAGTATGAAACTTCCTTTAATTATAACATTGGGTGCAGGGAGCTGTTGACCTTTTTTTTTATTATTTTAGGATCAGAATTTTCATCTTATACTTTTCTACTTTTTATTTCTTTTTGCAAATCAGCTGGACACTTTTTCGGCTATCATTTTCTGGAGTAGGCCGTAATTCTCACTGTAATTGTAGTTTTTTTAATGTATTGTAGGACCTACAAACACTTGTCTTTTTCTTTTCGCAAACCTCCCCAGGTGTAAGGCTTCGCGACCCCCCCCTGGGGTCACGACCCACAGGTTGAAAAACACTGATTTAAAGCATATTTTATTATAATGAAAATAACTTACATATTTATTGTGTGTGTGTGTAAACTTTTTTAATTCTTAATATATTCATTTTGACAGTGAAATGAATAGTCTTCTGATTTGTTATAAATTAGGAAGTGTAAGTTCTCCAAAGAAAAGGTAAACATTTCTAATAATTCTTTGTTCAAATAAAAAGTTAACAGTATGTAAACTTTATATTTTATTGTTTTTTTAATTGTTATTTGTACATAAAATTCTAATCTAAATAATAATGCTAATAATTGTAATATATTCAGCTTATTAAGGTTTAGCCATTTTTTTTTATTAAAACATATGCATTTTATGAAAAATGTTTAGTGTTGATGGAGCTCTTCCTTATCCTGTGTATCCTGGAAATGAAAATTTTCAAGGTAGTGTTAATTGGAACAATTCAAATAAAGATAGTCAAAATTACAGATCTCTTGGCTCAGGTTTGTTGCTTAAATAAATTTAACATACAGTACAGTTATGCCAGTCTGAACTAATTTAGATTGTGGTAGGTGGTAGTTTGGATTAATGTGGGTATAATAGTAATCCTTATGCTTTAAGACCACTTACCACTTTTTACTGTTGTAGGATTTTTTTGTATAGCAGTAAATAGAAGTTAGAATTGTTAGTCTAACAGGGTCATGGAAAGAATGAGCAGCAATGCTCACAACACAACTTAAGTTTACTTTACATGTGAGCTGAAGGTGTACAGTTGACATTTTATAGTTAAGGCAATGGTAGCTGTTCAGATTACAATGGGTTTGGATTAGCACAACTGTACTGAAATTAAATATGGAAATAAGTAATTTTATAAAATAATATATAAATGAAAACATATATAATTAAATATTGTTATTTTTAGTTTTAGATGATATTCCATTTGATATCAATCCAAAATATAAGGATCTGTTTAATTTGACAAAAGTGAGTAAAAAAGTATCTAAACAATTTAGTACATATGTTTAAAATAATAATAATAATTGTGTTTAAATTTATTTATTTAGTTTATTCTACCTGAATTTAATGTAAAATCTGAAGAGGAATTAAATGCAGAGGTAATATTCAAAATCAATTTTTTAAATAATAGTTGATTAAAAAAAATTGTTTTTTTTTTAAATTTGATTATTTAAATATGATGTTTAGAGGAAAACAAATACATTCTAAAAATTTGTTTTTAGGTTTTGAAAGTGATAGTTAGTTCATAGATAAGTTCATTATTTTTTATGCTTTGCAAGATTACAAAAGGATTAATAAAAGAACAATTTAAATATAAAAATAAGTTGCAAATACTCTGTATTCTGTATTCTTTAGCTTTTAAGATCAGAATTTAATTAAAATTAATGGCATTGCATTTAAATTAATATCAGATTTTAATTAAATATTTGCTCAATTAATAATACTAGCATATGTTAAAAAGAGATATTTGACATTATTTCTTCGGATTATTTGAATAAATAAAAATCTTCTATTTATGTTCATCTTTAAAAGTTAAATAAAAATCTTCCATTATATCTAATTAATTCACATACCTATAGATATATTATAAATATCCATATGGTGTATTATTTACACTACATCATCAAAAAAAGTTAAAAAAAATTATGAAAACAAAATAGGGAGTTGTCTTCAATAACTATTACACATTAAATTAATAAACCAGTAACAATATTTTAAACAAAGTGTGAACGTTTTACACATTAATACACTGTAAGTATATTAAACAAATTAAAATTTTTAAAAATAAAAAGAAAATATATAAAAAGATACTTTAATGTGAAACTACTTTACAACTTTGTCAAAATCTGTGTTGTTGCATTCTGAACAAGAGATTATCATAACTGCATGTTCTTTACATACATTTCACATAATCATTGTCTCTCACAACAAAAGCATTGTCATAATTTGGATGGTGGTTCTTTCTCTTGCTGTTGATCTTTTTGGCGTTTTTTATTTTTTAGAAAAAGTTGAATATCTGAATGCAGATTCCTCAGTTCAGCTCTTATATAGAATTCAAAGTTTTTTTCTATAGCATTGTCTTCTGATGTATCTACTTCTCCTTTAACCTCTTTATCAGATTCTTTATCAAATTATAACTTAAGCCATAAGACAAACTTCATCTTTGGTTAGACATTTTAGATGTGTAACTGGTTCATGATCCCTACAAAACAGCATCACGGTATTAGAGAAAGTGATAGTTTTCAATTTTATGAAAAAATAAATACAAAAAGAAGGTAATCAAAGCAAAATAATTTATTAAACATACATAATTGCACCTGTTGTGTACTTTATTCACCACATGATTCTGCTGTAAATGCAAATGCATACATGTTCAGAAGTACACATTTTTTATTTTGTCATGTTTCGTATAGGTAAAATCTATAAATATTTAAATGTTAGCAAGAAATGAATAGGTGTCAAATTGACAGATTCATATATAGTCTGTTTTCTACAAAAGCATGGTTTGTAATAAAAGGATGACATTTTCTTATCTGATTTTTGTTCACATAACTAGGCATCTCTCACTGAATATCAGTAATCTGTTCTTGAAAATGTTTGTGAAGAATGTTAGACATTCTAAACAAAAATGCCAACCAGAAGCTTATTTCCATTAATTTAAATGGAAACAATTATAATGCTTGATGACAATAATTCAAAATTTCTAACCATATGTAAAATGCATAAAACATTATTTCCTGATCATAAAACACAAACAGTTACTTTGTATACAGAAACATTTACAGTCTGCTTTCTCTTTTGGAAACATTCAAGATATGGTATGATAAATAACATACAACATTTAAATAATTGTGTTAGAAAAAAAATGCAGACAAAAATTTATAATAAAAAATGACAATTTCCAGTAATAAACTAAGTAAGGTAGAGATAAAAAATCTTGAAGAAAATTAAGGCAGTACACTTTCCAAAACATATACATGCAATTCTGACTTTCTACCAATTCAAATTGGAATGAAATTTGTAGAAAAATGAGATTTTTCTACAAATTGTTTTATTAAAAATGCTGTTTTGAATTTTTGAGACATGTTTACATAAGAAAAATTTATAGTCATCAGTTGAAGATATGTTATAAAAGATATGTATATACTAATGAAATTTAGATATTAAGAGACATTCTCCATTGTATGCTTGTACAGAAGTATTGATATATACAAAATGGATACTTATAAAGTAAATGTGTTAACAAATGAAATTTATTTTTAATATTAAGATTAATATCCAAAAAATATATAGCTATAAAAGAATACAATCCTGAAAAGAAAAAAAGGAGTAGAAGTTTTAAAAACAAATATAATTTTATTTCATTGTTTGAAAATAATAATTTAAAATAATGTATAGTAAATTTTAATGCAGGTGAAGTATGTTATTTCTTTAAAATTGACTTTTTGTGTAATACAGATACAGTAGAACCTCGATTATCCAGACTAATTGGGGATGAAGGTAGTCTGGATAAGGAAAAATCCGGATAATCGAAACAAATACTTTAATTTGTATTTTAATGATAATACAACACGTTTTCTTTTCGATGACATATCGGTAATATTAAAAGTAAATACTGTATTTAAATCGTGATCAAATTTTCAAGAAACAAACGTTCGTATTGAATTTGGACTACTACTGACCAATGCTACCAGACTACCTATTGTTTAAAAGGCCCTCTGGTGGCGCAAGAAGACGTATTTTATAAAATAAAAAGCAGTTGAATAATAATTTTTATGAATAATAATTTGACAAACTATTTATTGTTTTATGACAAGTAAAATTTTTTCGTCGCGTTCACGGCTTTAAGTAATGCATAAACCTTCGAGGCGCGAGGCCCTTCAAACCGCGAGGCATAGGCGGTGGCCCACGTCGTCCATGCCTTATGCCGCCCTTGGTTATAGAAATGATGTAATTTGAATATAAATTATTTATAAATACGTATGTCAAGTTATATTTTTATTACTACGTAAAATATATTTAAGAGTTTACGACCACTGTGCTGGGTGAGACGTTGTTGAAACAAAAAAAGTTATGCATTCCGTCACGTACATAAACAGTGTCGTAATTCGCCAAGTGCAAATCAGCAAATTCGTAAAATTTTTGTTTATATTGAACAATCTGGATAATTGAAAATCCGGATAATAGAGGTCCGGATAATGGAGGTTCTACTGTATTTCAAAATGTAAACTTTAATTTTTAACTTTTAAAGTTACATATACTTGCTTCAAAATGCTAATCTTGAGTTTAAAAATTGAAACAGATGATAAATTAATGTATTTTTCTTACAAAATAATACATTTATTTTATATTTTTTTCATATTATTGAACGGTTAAATAATAATCAAATATTTTATTATTTAGAGATTATTTTGAATATCACTTTCACAGCTCAGAAACTTGTTTATTTTTCATTATTTTCTCCAAATGAAATATTTTTGATATTTATTATTATGAATTCCATGATTCTTGAATCATTTTTCACAGTTTATTTTTCATCATCTTTAATGCTTTAAAAAATTAACATAATTTTTTCAATGTACTTTTTACACATAGAAAAGTTTTCTTTAATAATAATATACACTGGGCAAAATAATTGCAGGACCATAATGACTGGCAAGTGTTCAAACCAGGTGTGCATAACAAAAATTTGGCTCAAATACATATTTTTCACACATTACTGTATATATTAATGTATCTTATACAGTAGAGCGTCATTTATCCGAATCAATTGGGGACTGGGGTTGTTCGGATAACCAATTATGTACAAAAAAATATATTAACGTATCCCATCCTGAAATTTTTCTCCATTGCGTGTCGCTTTGCGTTGAATTTTTGTGGATGTTAAGCCTAACGTAAACTTTTTAAAATAATAATCGTGGCTATTGTATTGTTAAAAATTATTTCTTTATTTTGTACAAGCAAAATAAATATATTGAAAAATATAAAAACAGTAAAAAATTATACTTCAGAAGTTAATTTAGTATCAAAAACGTAAAATATTTGAGTGGGCCAAGACGTAGCCAAAGATTGCAGCGCCACAGCACTAGCGAAAATTTAAATTTGCCAACTGGAATTCTTTCGGATAACTGACTTTTGGATAAACGACACTCTACTGTATAACAATAATATCTGACATTTACAATTGTTGTAAATGATTTTCTATACATCTGTTGCTTCCCTAATAGTTTTGAATTTGAATTTGATATCATTAGCACACTTTTCATGATAACGGTCCCACTTAGTACACTTACAATTGTCTGCTTAACGGTTAGAGGAATTTGATTTGTGTATCTGTTTACACTAAACTGAGAAATCTTACACATTTTATGAAAGTCATTTGACCAAAAATAATTATGCCAATCTGTAAATCATACTGGCAACTTTACTTGATATAAAATTTAATATCAAGTAAAGTTAAGATACAGTTAGACCCCGCATAACGCAGGGGATGCGTTCCTATAGGACAAAGTGCTAAACGAAACAGCATTAAACGAGGTCATTTTAACATAGAGTAAATAGGGAAAGGGGAACACAAACCAAAAATAAACAGATTTTACTTTAAGTTATTTTTATATTTATATTATATTACTTAAGTTATTTTTATATTAATTTGCATAATAATATATGTTACATAACACAAACATATGCACACAGAAATGTAAAGTTTATTTTTTGTGATGAAGGTCCTGGCTTTTCTGAAATTCTTGTTTTTTGCAATAAAGTCATGTAGTTTCATTTGAAGCTTTTTTTTCTTTCCTCAAGCAAATGTTGGTAGCAGATTGCATCCAAAACACCTCGTTTTGCTTTTGCACTCCTTTCAAAATCTGGATCATTTGCTACAATTTAATCAACAATTTCGATTATCATTACCAAACTTTTAGTAAGGAAATCTGTAGAGAAATGTTTTGGGTTCTTTGTTTTCAGAATCACTATTTTCCAGTTCTACATGAATTCCTTGTTCTGTCAGTTCTTGAAGATTGTTGTTAGTAAGGCTCTCACCAGAAACCTGCAGTAACTTCTCCATATCCTGGTCATCTACGTCTCCTAGTCCTGCTGTATCGATTAGTTTGACAATTTGGTTAACCTAATGATACAGCGTTAGGCTCTTCTTGTTGAGAATTCTTGGATACCTTCAGCCAGTGGCGGCCTTAGGGGGTGGCGAGCAGGGCAATCGCCCGGGGCCTCGCGCAACAACCAAGTAGAAAAAAGTTGATATTTAAAACTTTTTATTTTATCCTTGGCTATTAGTTATAACAATAAAATAAATTTAATTTATAGTGCAGTATATATTAATATTAATAAGTGCCTACTATTTCAATTCACATACTTTGCACAAAGGACAAGGGCCTCGCAAAGATCTGCCGCCCAGAGCCTCGCAATGGATAAGGCTGCCGCTGCCTTCAGCCATAACTTCTTTCACATTTCCTTCATGCATTCATCAGTTAATTCTTGCCAAGCGAAGTTGATATTTTCTATGGCATCCATGATGATATATTTTTTCAAAAATTGCACAAAGCAAACATAGATTTAAGGGAAGTACAGTGCTATGACTAATTTCTGCCTTTTGCTGATTGGCTCGTGTTCATAAATTATTGTATTATATACGAATCAATGAAACACTGCGATAATTTGAATTGGCATAAATTTTGAGGTTTTTTTTTTTTTTGGTTTTGAGCAGACCGCGTTATATCGAATCAGCGTTAATCGAGATAGCATTAAGCGAGGTCTTACTGTATATAAAATCTTAATAAATATTGTAATGTTGATAAAAATTGAGCTTTAATATAAAAAAATAATAATAAGCATAATTAATTAGTATTTAATGCTATTGTCATCAGATGTATAATTAAGTTTTCTATTACAGTGTTCATATGACTTCCATGCTGAGCAGCAAGCACAGCAAGCCATTCCATCTCATCTGGCATAAATATGTTTTAAAAGAGATTAGGAGTTAACATAAATTGTTGATTAAATTTTATTGAGTAATTAAAAATTTAAAACTGGTTGAAATATTAAACTGGTTATAAAAAACTATTAAAATTCTTGTTCAAGATGTACAAAAAAAAATTGTTTGATGTAAGAAGAAACAAATATATATATATATTCAAAGTTGCACAAATCAAATGGACTTTTTGATAGAAAGTATTCATATTATAAACAAAGAAAAAAACTGTGGTACAAAAAATAATTTTAAAGCTTTAAGTTTATATTTCAGGACAGTATTTTTAAGTTGGGAGAAATAATTTATTTGAAATTTTAATATTTCTGTTTTTAGTATGGCAGATTATTAATAATTGCTATTTGTACTATGCAATATTTAAGTAATTTTTAAAACAATGAAGATAAATGAAATGTAATCATATTTGTAAATTTATATAAAATGTTGCAAATACAGTATCTATTTAGATGACATGTAAATATTTAGAAACGGTAATTTGAAATTTATAAAGTATTATATTGATATTTAATAAATTTCATTCTGAAAAGATAAATTTTTCATGCATTTTCTAGTGAATTATCATTAAAATATAGCCAGAGAATGAATTTTATTATTATTTTTGAACGTGTGATTTAATACCTGTAAAAAAAAAAAAAGTTGAAATCTCTAAAATTACAACAAAACTTTCACAATGCGGTACTAAGGTAAATACAACATACATTACGCAATTTATTTCTGCAGTCTAATTATATAAATTAAAAGTTATTTACGAACTACGTTACAAATTCAAATTTTTGCGCAATATTATTCATTTTAAAGACAATTTTTACTTCAATTTATAATTACGCGCTGAGTAATACCACATGACGTATGTTTCTATCAAATAAAATGATTAAAGTTCGCATGCAAATAATTATTATAAATAATATAAAATTTTTAATAATAATTCGAATTATTCAAAACAATTTCGAATATTAAAATTTATTATTACGAAATTGGGCGGTTTATTTTAAAATGTGAGATGGCGCTAGTATCGGCTTTCGTTAGACATCAATTTCGTTTATTGTAAATGACATCTAACAAGAAAATGTTAAAAATGTAAGTATATAAATTTTATTTTATAGTTATAGAATATGTTTAATAATTGTAAATACAAAGAAAACGTCACGTATATTTAAAACATGAAACACACTTTAAACTGAAAACGTATGTCGATTTCTATGGTGACCACGTGTCTCTACGTTACATTTGTACTGTACAGTACATACAATTGTTCTTTGTGACGTATTTTGTGTTTATTTTATGAAATCTTTGATTATAAAGAAATCAGCTGATGATGATTGCGTAATTTCTCCACTTTCAGTTTCGTTTCTATAAGTAGAAAGCCATCCCATAAATAATATCGTAAATTTGTCTGTAGATTTATCAGTTAAGCTCATCATCTTGCGACACGTGTTTCATTGAAGTCACGTTATTAGAAAGGTCGTTGATAGTTGATATTAATAATGGGAAATTTTATGACTCGAGAAAAATCTACTACCTTGATATACTGATTACACAAGACAGAATTAATTGATAATGATTGCATCATATTCAGCTTAAATTGATATATAACCAATGAAATCAGTCTCAAGTATTATTTGAATAATAAAGAAATTTTAATACTTGTAATAAAATAAAGTTTTGCAAACATCTACACACAAATTTATACTGAATTTGTGAAGTTAACTGTGATTTTAAAATTTAGTATCTATTTTTCACAAATGCAAAACATCTTTAATTTAATGTTGTTTAGTGCAATTTGAAATTAATAACGACAGTGACAAAGAAACTGAAACATGTAAACAAAGTTTTATGTATTATAGTAAATTATTCAAAAAATATTGCATTATTTATTACTAATGCAGTCTAATTCATAATGATTAATCAAATATGCTAACAAAGAAGCAATTTGAAATTATAATGATATTTGTTATGTAGTATAGACAAATCATGTTAACATGAACTATTTCCCAACCCTGTCAAATTCTATATGGATTATACAGTACTTTCTTTAAAATTATCAGTTTGTTTAAAACAAAATTTTCATCACCACACAGGAAAATAATCTCTTGATGCAAACTAAAACTTACTTTTTCTTTGAATCTTCTGTTATTTTACATGTGATGGAAATTTCAGTAAAGGGAGTCCTTGAGATGTTTGCATTGTTTAAAAATGTACTAGTATGGGATAAAGGGAAAAACTACTATGACAGCTCTGGATATGCAATAGATAGATAAAGATAAATTTCAGTTTCTATTCCCTTAATTAAAAACATGAACCTCTTCCCACAGAAAAGAGATAATCAGAAACTTGTTCATTTTTTATGTTTGACTTGGGTAGACTGGATAAAAAAATAAAAAATTGGATTACTTTTTGCATAATTTTGTGACCTTTTTAGCATTTGGCATAGAGATGATACAGATTTTGATGACTTATGACATTTTACCATAAACCTTTTGATGTTGGGCTAACATCAGGTAATACCACTACTTTTTTAGAATTTGGAATTTTTCTAAAAAATTATATGACAGTGCATTTGTGAAATATACTGTTAATAACTTTTGCTGTAGTGTTTATTTTATATCTTGAACAAAATGAATTATAAAATTCAATAAAGTTTGTTTTTAGGAAAAATTTGAAATTTTGAATGAGGTAGATAATGGCAAATAAAAAAAAATAGAAATAGTACTAACATACTTTTTGTTATCCCACATTTTTATCAAAGATTAAAAGAATGAGAAAAAATTGTAGTGTTTGTTGAATAGTTTGAGATTGTCAAAAAATCAATGAACATATTTGGAAAAATAGAAATAAAACTTATATTATTAGCCAAAAAATTCATGAAAATTTAAGTTCTGAAATGAAACTAAAATATATCTACAGTAGATCCCCCTATAAGACGGTAGATATGTTCCGTTCTTTATGAATCAATTTTGTAGGAATCACAGTTTACGGACTATGGCTGTTTGAAATGTTTTCTTCCATAAAATTAATCGATTCTAAACTAATTCGACTCAACATTTCCAAAATACGTATATTTTTTTGGAAATAATCCGTATAAACTACGTTATAAACAAAAAATTGTAGGATTGCTTACCGAGTGTGTACCGTTCGACTACGCCCGTTGCTAAAGCTTGGTTTCGTCGCGGAACAGCGCATCAAACCGCGGCCGCGATTTCTGATATTATTTTTCTGCGAAAACTTCGTTGACCTTTGGAGACATCCTTAATATAAATAATTTTTATGGCCGTTAAATAAGAAATGTTTCTTTCACAAGAAATGTATAAAATTACAGTACTGGACAGACGATAGGTCGCCTAACTCGCCGTAGCGTGACGCTAGACGGCGAAAAATATATATTTAATTATAATAAAGTTACAATAAATTAAGTTAATATATAATTATATATACAGTACCTAATTTATATATAATTAATATATAATTATATGTACAGTACCTAATTTATATATAATTATATGAACAGACGATACTAAACTCAATTTATTCGCCTAAACGTCCGTAGCGTGGTGCTACGGACGGCAGGAAAGTAGTTCGGCTGCCCGATGACGTTTTACATAATTATAGGAGTTATTTTACCGTTGTGTACGGATACCGCCACAATTTTTTCACCGTCTTATAGGAATCATAACTATAGGAAACAGTTTTATAGGGGGATCTACTGTATTTTATAATTATTTTTTTACACAAATGATAGTCACTAACACAAATACTTTCTTAATCATTGTAACCATTCATGCTAATGACATTTAACTATAGGCCTATAATGATGAGTACTTAGAATGAGACAGAACAATACTTTTTAATTTAGAAAATTTATGCAGCAAGTTCTGTGTAACCTACATGAAAAAGTTTGGTTGATTGTGATTCTGTAACTTAAATTTTTTTTTTTAACTCTCAAAAAAGAAAATAGATATATGGTGCAAAAATCAAAGCAAAGGTAATGACCAAATAGATGAAAACTTGGAGCTCTGTCAGTTGTTTTGGTATGCAGTGGGTGAATACATTCCTGTACTTCCAATGTTATGCATGGCATCCAGTGAGATGATATTCAGTGTTCTGTGAACTTCTTGCAAACAATAACAATAACACTAAATTTCATGTATCTGTCCTCCTGTCGGGCATTTGATGCAGATAACATTGTCATCCATTGTAGATGTAATTGGATGGCCTGGTCACTGCTCTTCTGTAACATGTATCCTGCCATTATTGAAAATACTGCACATAACCCCAAATCTATTTTCATTTAGAGATGGATGGTGAACAGTATGGCTGATAGGTAACATAGTCTTGATGGCTTGGAAAGAAAGCAGTGCTCTAAATAATCTGCCCTGGTAGGACATATATCATATAAGGAAATTTACTCACATGAGAGTTCTTGCCACCTTATTTATTGAAATACCCTCATATTTAATTCATGTTAAAGAAATGTTTAATTTCTAGTTTATTTATTTACTAGCAGACCCCGCCACGTGTTGTTGTGGCTCAAAATGTATCTATTATAAATGCATAACACTTCCCCCACGGGGGGAATATTGAAAAATCCCTTCTTAGTGTACATTCTGTTGACGTACCCTATTAAAATGCAATAAAAAACGCATCTAAAATAGTATAATAGAAGCAGAGTTCTTTATGGTAAGTCTTAATGGCTTAATCCTAACCATCTTCCTTCAGTGAGGGGAATTTTGACATGTATATTATATAAAAACACGTGCGTATTCAAATGCAGCGTTGTGTCAAAATTTCAAAGGAATCAGTAGGAACAAACGAACATTACATTTTTATTTATATAGACAGATAGATGATGATCTGCTTTAGTTCATTTTCACCAAAAAGCATAATGCCTCACAGAAAAGCAAACTTAGGGTGTCGTACTCATAGCGCCATCTGTTGGACATAAAAGCCTTAACCTAGATTATATCTTTTAATTTATATGAATGTTTAACGGAATAATATACAGCCTAATGTAATAATATAATATATACAGTAATAATATACAGCCTATGTCCACCCTGAAGTTCCATTCTAAATATTGGTGAAAGAATTTTTGAAATCGGATGAGTAGTTTCGGAGATTACCCGCTACATCCAAACTTACTTACTTACTTACAAACGTTACCTCTTTATAATATTAGTATAGATTTGTAAAATTTCCTACATACCTAAAAATTGCATTGAACAATTTTAAAAAATAGAATTAAACTATATGTTTTAGAAAAAATTTTTATTTTGGATTTTCAGTTTGGTGAGTGGAGATGTGGAGGGAAAATTCAATCAACTTTTCTCCCGAGTAACTGCTGTTAATAAAAAGAATGGACCTTTTGAAGTAAGTAGTATTAATCAATATGGTACTTACCAGTTAAAGCCCACAGGTCATGTCTTGTCATGTATTGCATTTCAATGTCACACCACTTTGCATAGTATTGTCTTGTATCAGAGTAAAAAAAAAGCACACAATTCAAAAATTCAAAAGCAAAATTTATTTCAAATTCTATAGCAAGAGTAATTTTCTAAAATATTGCAATTAATTACTTTTTGTTATTATTGTTACATTAAAGCTTTTATTTGTTACTTTAAATTGTAATAATAACTTACTTTCCTTCACTTACAGTAACAGTTCACATTTAAATGTTGCATGCAAAACTTAGGACACTTATTCCTTAACATAACAAAAATTGATCTGAAGAAAAAGACAAAACTAACTGTTGATCTGTGCATCCATGTGGTAGGCCACATACCATAATCACACCTATAAATTGCTTTGTTATATCTTCATCTTAGATTTTCATACTCTTAACATAACTTCATTTTATTACCCTTTCTAAAAAAAATGTTGAGAATGTAATATACCAAATTCCTACAGAAAATTAACATAACATCTTCAACTGTAACAAATTGAAAATAATACTAAATACATTATCTCCTCAACAGTATCTCTAATCTAAAATCCTGAAATCATAGACTGATTTCCATACTAACAGATAACAATAGGTTATTTGTGAAATGAATCAATTATTAAAAATAACTAATCTGATTTTAAATGCAAAAAGAAAAAAATATATTTTTAATCTTTTTGAAACAAATAAGTTTTATTAAATTTCAATTTTTACACTTTAAATCCATTGTTTGAACTCATATTCCAATTTGGGCTGCATGGTTTAATAAGCAATGTGATAGTGTATGACATGACAGAGCATGCATGATATTGGAACACAACACACAATATGACAAGACATACAGTGCTCTAACTGATAAGTACCGTCTATATTTTACATAATTTTTGAATTTTGTATTCAGTATTTAGAAATATGGAACTATTTATTTTTATGATACAAAGAAATTCAGTTTTGTTTCTAATCAAGTATTAAATGATGTAAAATTCAGAAAGCACAGATATCTTTTACTTGACGTTTTTTAAATCGGTATATCTAGAAATCTTTGATATTTCTTTAATGGCATTTGTAGGTTCATTTGAAACAAAAAAGCTTGTGAATAATATTTTCCAACACATTTTGCTTTGTGGACATTAAGAAGGCATTTCATGTGCCATGATAACATTGACCAGGTGCATGAAGGGGCAGCCAATAGTGGAGAAATAAGATCATATCTGAACAGATCATCCATGAAAAATTTGAATGTATGATATAGATGATTCAAATCTGAAATTCAATGTGGCAAGTATGAGGCTGATTCTAAAAGTAAGGTAACGAGCTCTCATGGATGTCATATTCCTCCTCTTGTTCAAATTTCCCATTAGGGCAGCATCGAAAGACCTCAGCTTTATTGCACAGGCATTAGATGGAGCAAACGTTGTGTCAAACTCTCGCAATATCATTTGGAAGATGGTTGTGCTCACAGAAACATGGTCAAATGTGGAAGTGCATAGTGTGAGAGCAACAGTGAATGCTGACTCGTATTATCATACACTGATGTTGTTAAGGAAGGCAATTCGCAGAAAACAATCTACGAGGTCTGTTCAAAAAGTATCGGACCTTTGGTCGGCAAAAAAAAATTAATTGATTTTGAGGTACAAAACCTTAATCCCCTTCAAAGTAGTCTCCTTGGTAATGTATACACTTCTCCCAGCGTTCCTGCCATTGCTGGAAACACTGCTGGAACGCATCTTTTGGAATGGCCATCAGCCAGTTCGTCGGATTCTGCATGATGTCTTCTCTCGACTAAATTCGGGTTCCTTTTAGCGCCATTTTCAGCTTGGAAAATAGCCAAAAGTCACACGAAGCCATGTGGGGAGCGTACGGAGCGTGACGAACCACAGGAGTGTTATGTTTGGCGACGAAAGCCCGAATCAGATGCGCGGAATGGGCGGATGCGTTATCATGATGGATCTGCCAAGTTTTGATCGACCACAGATCCGATTGTTTGCGTCGCACAGCATCGAAAAGACGACGAAGGACCTCCTGGTAGTACGCCTTTGCGATGGTTTGGCCTTGTGGTGCGTACTTACGACACACCACCCCACGAGAGTCGAAAAAACTGTCAACATGACCTTTGATATTGCTGCGGACCTGCCGCGCTTTTTTTGGCCTCGAGGATCGTCCCCGAAAGCCTGCTGAATCTTGCGAATGGTTTACGCTTGCGTATCGCCAAGGTTTTTGGCAAAATTTGATGTAATATCGCTGCTCACGTTGTTCAGTCATTTTCCAGCTTAGTGGAATCCGACGAGAGTGCACTACATTACCTCACTCATAAGCCGATTGCCAACGACTGATGTTTCCTGCAGGCGGGAAAAAATTCAGGGCTGTGCATGACTGTCTCCTCCACAACTTCACCAAAGGAGGCCTCTCGCGCATCATTGGTTTACACGGAAAAAAAAAAAAGGTCCGATACTTTTTGAACAGACCTTGTAGACTTCTCTCAACAGGTGTCCTGTTGCTGCACAACAATGCCTGACCACAATGTAAAGAACATGACTGAATTGTTACAGCGTTTCAAGTGGGAGGTACTAGAACATCCTTCCTATAGCCCCAACCTGGCAACCTATGATTTCCATCTCTTCGGACCATTGAAAAAGCATCTGGTGGTAGGTGATTCCAAACCCATATGGAAGTTTAGCAAGCCATCATGATGTGGCTGAAGGGACTTGATGCAGATTTCTTCTCTGCTGGAATCGATTCCATGGTATATTGTTGGAATAAATGTTTGGACAAGCATGATGACTATGTTGAAAAATAATATGTACCAGTGCCATAATAATCTGTATCACTATATCTGCCTGTGAAATAAAATTTGTACAGGAGAGCTCTTGTTACCTTACTTTTTGAATCACCTATGTATGTTCTATATTTACACCAATGTTGCCACCTATCCATCAATCAGCAAATATAGTAGAATCTACTTATTGTAAGCACATTGATAATGATGATGATAACCAATTGATAACATTAAGTGGAATAAATTACTTAGTTTATAATTAGTGGAAATTCTGATCTTATTTACTTTGGCATTAAAACAATTTTAAAAACATACAACTTGAATATTTATTTATTATAATATTATGTTGAGTTTAGTGAGTTATACTCGGTTGACACTGGTTGCTGTGTACCATGCCGGACCAGAGTCAAGGCATAGCAACCAAAACAAAACTAAAATTAAATAAGTGTGTCAGTGTGTGTGTCTGTATTCAGGAATTTCCTAACAATATGACATATTCAATATAGTGGCCTTCTATAGTGTAGTGTAGTGTGTGTATTTCTATTCAATTATAATGTTTCCAGGCTTTTGTGTAGTGTGTGTGGTATGACATCTGTACAGGAGAGAATGACAGGGTACAATAAGCACCCTATCCATCCTCCACTGATGCCTTATTTCCTGGGCAAGTTTTGTGTACTTACTGATTTTTTTCAGTGCACAATATTTTTGTATATTGTGAGTGTTTGGAATGGATATGTCTATAATGTATGTGATTTTATTGTGTTTGTCAATGAGTGTGATGTCTGGTCTGTGATATATTGTTTTATCTGTGATTGTACATACTCTGTCATAGTGCATTTTGTGCATGTTGATTTCCAATACTGTCTGTGGGATGTATTTATAGTATTGTTTGTGGATGTTTAATAATTGTGTTTCTTTGCAAGCTCTTGGTGTATTATATTTGCCACTTGATTATGTCTATGTAAATAATCTGTCTGTGCCAATAGCTTGCAATCTGAAGTGATATGTTGTATAGTTCCTGGCATGATGTGACATTTTCTACATGTGTCATTTGTGAGTTGTATCTTTGAGTATGTTTTCTGTAGTTGTTAGTATTTATGACCAGATCCAGTATGGCAATCATGAATCCTTCCATCTCCCCAAAAAGGCATTCCTGAGCTAACCAGCTGTTTGATGCAGTTTTGTCAACAAAATTCTGGGCCAGATTGTAGAGATGTCTGCCATGGAGTGCCTTTTGAACCTAAGATTGCTTAATGGTGTGTTATTTGAATCTTCTAGAGTTATTGCTTTATGTAGTTGTGATGTTTCTTGCTTTTTATAGAAAAACTCTCGCAGTGTCTGTATTTGTTTCTAGTGAAGGTTAACTATGTCAATCAAGCCATATTTGCAGAAATATCAGCTATTAGCTATTAAAAAAAGTTTATCAATTTCAGCTCAGTGACATCATTTACCTTAAGTTACATTTTAAAATATTTTGGCAAATGGCATAATTTTAAATTTACTTTATTAAATTTAAATGTTAAATTTAAAACATAGCCACATTGCGTCATCTCTACAACAAATTTTTTTGAAAACTTTCTGTATAGATCATTTGACACACTATTATCCAGTCAAAAGTAATGATCTAATGAGCCTGTTATTTAAAATGTGTTATGACACATCAATTGACAGATAATATAAGCTACTTTATTTGTAGAAATATTATCCACTCTTCTTGAATTTCTTGAAATCTCTACTTTCTCATAGAAGTAGTAGTATGTAATGCTTGATGGGAGAATTTCTAGTTAAATATGTTTAATCAGTTGTTATTGTTAATATAAGTTAGAATTAATTTAATTTTTATATAGTTTTATTATTAATTTTTGTTTAAGCATTAAATAACAATATATAACTGATCTATATAAATATAATTTCAGATGTTGATATGTGTAGGAAATTTCTTTGGAGAAAATAATGATCAATGGGATTTATATAAAAAAGAGATTAGCAAAGGTAAATTAAAAATACATTATTATAAACATTAATTGTAATGCGATACAAACTTTTAAGTTGACTATTTGATATGTTCAAACTGCAAAGACATTTAGATAAAATGTATTTGGTCTTTGAAGATGTGTGAGAATTATTTACTTTGATGAAAATCAATTATCTTAATAAATTTATGAATATTACAAAAAATTTTTAGAATAGACTGTATATAATAGAAATATTTATAATGAATGTGTTAGTCTTAAAATTTTTTCTGAATTTATGACTTAAAGCACAAAATTTTATAAATATTAATTTATTTAATATATTTTGAAGAACACTAAGGATGCACCGATAAGCAAAATGGCCGATTACCGATTAATCGGCCATGCATTATCTGCCGATACCGATTAATCGGCCGATTAGTGATAATAATTTATTGCATTAATAGTGTGAGATCCTGGAGTTAATTATACAGTTAATTATAATGTGGAAAAAAACTATTTTTCTCCACCTGGTATTTCCATCTCCCTCGGGTCAGGTAAACAAGAGACGATCGAATATCCTCGCAAAATCAACAATCTCTTCCTTTGTTTCTAAAATAAATCTCAACACTTAATTGTTGACGCATGGAAACTTCGACATTGTTTAAAAAGCTGAAGTGTTTCTGTGTTTAACAGAAACAAAATATATTTCTTTAACCGCTGATATTTGGACAGCAACTACAAACAATTCTTTTTATTTAAGTGTAACAGCCCACTGGTTAAATAATGATTTTCAGCAGGAAAGAGCTGTTTTGCAAATTGTTCCCTTTCAAGGTTCCAACACAGCTACACGTATCAGTGAGCAGTTAAAAATTGTTCTTAAACAGTATAAGTTGACAAGTGATAAGATATTCTTAATACTAAGAGATTCTGCAGCAAATCCGGTAGCTAGAATTAGGAATTGCAACTTAGAAGCATTATCATGATTTATACATACGCTGCAGCTGACACTAAACGAATGCATATTTTCTGAACAAGATGTGAAAACTATAATCACAGTTAATAGAAATATTGTCACACATTTTAATCATTCTACTGTAGCTGTAATCAAATTGGAAGATTTGCAAGAAAAGTTAGGTTTGCAGAAACACAAATTAATTCAAGATGTTCCTACTCTCTGGAATTCTACATACTACATGCTGGAACAGAAAAAAGCCCTTGTCACATATGATATAGATAATAAAACTCCTACGTTGAGCCTATATCAGTGGTCTTTCGTTTAAAAATTGTTCTATTTGTAAAACCATTCAAAGAAATTACTGTGGAAAGCCAGCAAACGAGAAGCCACTTCATCTTCAATAATTCCCACAACAGAGACTCTGAAATAATTCTTATCAAAAGCAAAGATCAGTAGTTCCTTTAGTGGCATTAATACCACAACAGAAGAACTAGAAAATCCAATAAAAGAAGATTTTCAGCATATATAGAAAACAAGTCTTTATGCTTATCATTTTTATTAGATTCAAAATAAAATTTCAAAAAGAGGATATGGTAGAGGAAATCTCAATAAGAATTAAATTCTGAAGCTTCTACTTCTGGAGATGATCAAGATGGAGGTGAATCTCTAAGTTTTTCTGATTTATTTGATGAATTAGCTTCTGGTAAACAAAAGAATGAAGAATAGCATGTTTTTAAAANATTAATGAAGAAGATACATTCACATGTTTAAGTATTTATATTGATGTGCATAATATACTTAAATATGTGTAATTATAATTTATTTAAATATATATCTGTATAATTGTTACAGATTTTTATTTGATTATTTCTTCTCCATATAGTATACAAATTAAGATAAACAGTGTTCTGGCATTTAGCCAAAATATTCCATTTTCCTTATTTAAACTGCTGTGGTTGTTTCATTAGACAATTTGTAAAGAGAATTTGCCTTACAGTACATGCAGTTATTTATTCAGTTTTTTTCATTAAATTATCTTTAGTTTTATTAAATAAAAACCAAAAATCTTTACAATTATTTACAGAATTTAATTTTCTGAAATACAAATGTTTTTGAATTTAACTAGTTATCTTCAGGTTCTGACTACATGCAATGATGGGGTTTAAAATAATTTCAATGTAGTGCAGATTTCATTTAAAATATGTCATGTTATAAAATGACAGCCTTAAAAATAAACAAAATAATGAATTTCTTATTTTTATTAATAAATATAGATATTTTAATTACATTCAAAANTAAAATGTAAAATTGGCCGATTATTGAAACCGATTAATCGGGGGGAATGGCTGATACCGATTAATCGGCTAAGTGGTCGATACGGCCGATTACCGATTACTTACCGATTAATCGGTGCACCCTTAAAGAACACCTTACCCTTAGCATCAATAATAAGAATGAATATTATATAATAATCAAATCATTAAATGTTATATTTTGGCTAACAATTAATATAAAAGAATTTGTCCTGAAGGTAGGAATTTTGACATTTGATAATGTAATTCATTGCAGATATAATTATAACTGATAATAGTACAAAATAACTAAAATAAATTTGAAAAAATTAAATAGGAAATAATTCTCATTAATGAAGAAGATACATTCACATGTTTAAGTATTTATATTGATGTGCATAATATACTTAAATATGTGTAATTATAATTTATTTAAATATATATCTGTATAATTGTTACAGATTTTTATTTGATTATTTCTTCTCCATATAGTATACAAATTAAGATAAACAGTGTTCTGGCATTTAGCCAAAATATTCCATTTTCCTTATTTAAACTGCTGTGGTTGTTTCATTAGACAATTTGTAAAGAGAATTTGCCTTACAGTACATGCAGTTATTTATTCAGTTTTTTTCATTAAATTATCTTTAGTTTTATTAAATAAAAACCAAAAATCTTTACAATTATTTACAGAATTTAATTTTCTGAAATACAAATGTTTTTGAATTTAACTAGTTATCTTCAGGTTCTGACTACATGCAATGATGGGGTTTAAAATAATTTCAATGTAGTGCAGATTTCATTTAAAATATGTCATGTTATAAAATGACAGCCTTAAAAATAAACAAAATAATGAATTTCTTATTTTTATTAATAAATATAGATATTTTAATTACATTCAAAATTTATTTGTGTTTTAATTGAATGAATTATAATTATTCATTTATTATATGTATATGTTAATATTGCTATATATCTACATAAGATCAAGATCTGTTACAAATAGTAATAGATTTTCATCATATATACATATATAGCAACTTAACTTGAAGGGCCTCAATAACAAACAAACAAGATATATTATCAAAACCAGATGTTTGTAAAATTTTATTGCTTAAATACAGTAAGTTTCAATTGAGATAAGATGTTTTTTATTTTAATTAAATATAAAACAAAATGCATTTAATGCTACTAGAAAGATTTATTGTTAGCACTAATATCATCAGCAAAATAAGTTTTGTCACTATGATAAGTGGACAATCAACTCTGAGGCTCCAGAATTGGGGTAATTTTAATAATTAATAAAAATCTTAACTTATTTAGAATTTTATAAACATTTTTTTGGTTTGAAAATTATATACATATATATGTTTTAATCTTCAATTTTTCAATATTAATTTTAAGAAATTATATATATATCCTGTATATAAGCTTTACAGTTTGTGGTAAAATTTAAATTAGTTTATTTATTTCTGTCTTTATAATTGCAATGTTGCAATGTTAGAATTATTTGTTTTATGACTGTCATTAATGTACTTAAGTGATATTTTGATCTTATGCAAGAATGTACAGTACCTGAAAACATCTTAGTATTAGTTTTATTAATAGATTTGTTTGCTAAAACAAAAAATAAACAGAGACTCAGACTTATTAATAAAAAATAAAAAGCTTTTTTAATGATTCTATTTTATTGTATACATAAATGCAAAACTTAATTAATTGATAAAAAGAAGTACTTTATTTAAAAACTTTCATATGTAAGATTTTCATTAAAATAACTTTCTATAGTTGAATAAGTTTATTTCCATAGTTCTTATGTCAAAGTCATGATTTTATAGTTACATATTTATGAAATTTATGTTCCACATTAAAGTTTGTTTCTACTTAAAATAAATTATAATTTCAGATAAATGTCCCAGATAGATTATAAATCAATTTAAAATTATTGATTTAGGCTTAATTAATGAAACTTTTTGGCCTATTTTGGAAAATCATAAATTACAGTAATAATAAAATTAACTAAGTAATGTGATAATTAAAACATTTCTGACTATTCTTTGTGTATTAAAATATTTAATGGATATTGAATTAATTTCATGTTAATTATATATTATTGTTATTTTTCTTGATTATGTTAAAAAATAATTAATAATAATTTTTTTGTAAAAAGGGCTGGCAGAAATTACAATTTAATAAAGTAAAAAGTGCATTACAAATACTAGTCATATCTTGCTTGCTCACCATGTCCAATCACCTGGAACAACTATTCTTCACTGCAGAGATGTGGACATTTTAGACTATTTTACATATTTGTGCAGAGCTGTAGCCTACAAAGAAAGGTCATCTCTGTAGTGAAGAATAGTTGTTCCAGGTGATTGGACATGGTGAGCAAGCAAGATATGACTAGTATTTGTAATGCAATTTTTACTTTATTAAAATAATAATAATTTATTTGATTTATCTCTTAAAATTTTTTGAGTGATAGATCATTCTAATGATTTAATAGTAAAAGTATCTTTCAAATTGTAATACAGTAGAGTGTCGATTATGCGAATCAATTGGGGACTGGGGTTGTTCGGAAAATCGATATTTCGGATAACTGATTATATACGAAAATTATATTAACCTATCCCATGTTGAAATTTTTCTCCGTTGCGTGTCACTTTGCGTTGAATTTTCATCGATGTTAAGCCTAATGAAGACTATTGTATCGTTAAAAATTATTTTTCTATTTTGTACTAACAAAATAAATATATTGAAAAATATAAAAACAATAAAAAATTATACTTCAGAAGTTAATTTAGTATCAAAAACACCCAAGCCCAAGACAGCCAAAGATTGCAGCGCCGCAGCACTGGCAAAAATTTAAATTTGCCGACTGGAATTATTTCGGATAATCGACGCTCTACTGTATATATAATCTAATTAAATTTTTTTAATATGATTATTAAATATTAAAATTTTATAATACAAACATATATAGATATAAATCAATTTTTATTACATAGCTCCAATTACTACATATGTGTTAGGACCTTGTAAGCCTGAGCATGAACAGTTTTTTCCAGATATAAATGGTTGTGAACTTGCACACAATATTACATACCTTGGTAAGTATTATATTTTATGTTTATTATATTTAAAAATAAATCTTTATTTTTTAATTTAAGAATATGTAATTTTTTTTATAGGTAGAAAAGGTATTTTGACTGGATCTAGTGGTCTTAAAATTGCATACTTAAGTGGCATTCACACTGATAGTAATAAATGTGAAAATTATCAGTTTACAAATAAACATGCTGAAGATTTAATATTAAACTTCACAGAAGGTCTCAATTCAAAAGGTGTTGATATTCTTCTGACATCTCAATGGCCAAAACATATTGATAAATATGGTGTAACACTTGTAAATATTCACTTATTTCTTCTTATCTTATTAATTTTCATTACTACAATGAAATAATAATAAAAATTGAGTTAAAATTATAATAAGTATTTATTATTTTAGAAAGAAATCAATCTAGAAAACTGTGGATCTGAAATGATTTCTAAATTAGCTTACATTACAAAGCCTAGATATCATTTTGTTGGTCTAGAAGGAGTGCATTATGAACGACTACCATACAGGTATGCTTAATTTTAAAATTATAGTTTGTTCTAAGTATTAAATTATGGACTTATTAGAGTAAAACAGCATTTGTATACATAATAAGAAATGATTTATGATTTTTATCATAGTAATATGTTATTTAGGAAATTAATAATATGCATTATTTAGCAAATCAGTTTTTATATATTTGTATAAATAAAAAGTAAAATTTTTTGTTTGTCCAATCTTGTATGATTAATCATACAAAGATTGGACAAACAAAAAAACTTTACTTTTTATTTGTACAAATATATTAACAAGAATAATTATGTAAATTTTTGACAGTTAGTCTATTCTTATTTGAATGTTGTATGTTTGAAAATGTTTGTTTTAACTCTTTTAATCTTGATGATGATTGATAACTTGAAAACACTTGAGTAAATGCTGTTTTCTTTATAAGCTTAAATTAAAACAGAACATTAGTTTGTTTATAGATATGTAAAAAAATATGCAAATTATTGCCTATAAAAATTAATTTAATATGTAATTAGTGATATATACAGTAAACCTTTGACTCCACCAATTTGGACAAATATTATTTGAAAAATTGTATGATAACTTAAAGTTCCTTCACAATAGAAAAATTACAATTAATAAATATTTTCAATATCCAGAAGTGTTTGCTGTACTGTACTATTGTATTACTGTATTTAGCAAGTCACTGTACATTGATGTATATTTTGCTATAGAGGTCTCAAACTCAAATGCAGCAAAGGGTCACTCAAATAGATGTATATCAGACATGGGCCATATACAATATTATTCGGTAAACCAAAACATACTGTTATTTAAGAAAGAGCTCTAACAAAGGCCCTTGTTTCGCCAGGCCTTTACAACTTATTTAAACAGTTAGATGTTTGAATTTTTCTGTTTAAATTCCTTCAATGTGTTAGAAATGTTGATTTTTATAAAAGAAATCATGAAGGCTGCAGGCCAGATATGAAGCCTTAATGGGCCATATCCAGCCTGAGGCTCACCAGTCTGTGACCCCTACTTGTATGAAATTTTTTGAGCTCATTTACTATAATCATAAATTCAGTAGCAAAATCTACTAATTCTCAGTAAAACTTTTGTATAGAGCAGATCATAATAAATCACTATATATATAAAATATTATATATATATATATATATATACACGAGGGGTGTTCAAAAAGTATCAGATCTTTGGTNGGTGTTTACTGTATTTATGAATGTCAATAACTACATTTTTTAGTTTATTTTATAAATAAAATGCTGCTTTTGATTTTATAAAGAAAAAAATATTGTTATTCTTTTATGTGAAGAGCTATTATATGTACAATTTTTGAACTGACTGAACTCATCCCTCTTTATCCTGTATAATGATGTATTTTTTTGTGAATCTGTCCTCTCTTTAAATCATACCCATATTTAATGGATTAGCCGAAAGTTGTATTTATTAACATTGTTAATTTACAATAATAAAAATAAATATTTTTTATTTAAAAGAATAAATGATAGTAAATAATCTGAAATATTTTGTTATCATAGTTTTGAAAATATTATTCCAAACTAAAATTAAAATTGATCAAAATCTTAATTGAAAATTATTTTAAATGTGTGACTTTTAAATAAAGTATTTTTGAAGAATTAGTATGCTTAAACATATTTATGATATGAATGTAAAAATGTTCTCAATACTTTTATTTACCTTTTTTTTTATTAAAAATTTTGGTTTAAATTCCAAATAAATTATAGATTTATTATAAAATTATTAGTTTTAGACAGAAATTATCTAATAACTTTTAAATAAAATATTATCAAGTTTTTCTGATTTATGAGTTTAAAAAATAAATTTTGTATATTTTTTTAATGGCTAATACAAGACTAATACAATAAACAAAGTTTTAAAAAATTCAAGAATATATGTATTATTAAATTCTTATTATATTCCTAGGATAGAATTAGTTATCAAAACTTTTGAGTTATAAATGCTATAAAATGATAAAATTATTTAGTTATAAATGTTTTTTAGAAAAAAAAATATATGCTTTGGGATAAAGATCTATCTTCATAAAATATTATATGACACTTGTAACTAAGGCATCAGTCTGAATGCAAAACAATATATAATAAAAATATGAATTGGAGTATTTGGGAATATAGAAAAAAATTATAATATATTATTTTCATCATTGTTAAACTATGTACGATACATTTATAATTAGACCTAATTAACAATTTAAAATAAAGGCAATGTCTTTGTTAATCATTCTAAAAAATTTTATTAAAATATATTATTGAGAAATGAAAATTTTGCTTCATATTTGCAACCAACTTTTCTATGCTTTTTATTTTATCAGTCTTACTGTAATTTTTCTCATAATATTGTAAATTATTTTTTTTTTTTTTTTGTTTATTACTGTATAAATATTTATATAGTTTTTGATAAAAAGTAATGAACCAACAAGATAAAATATTTTGAATTCCCTTGTTTAAAGTTATATTTCATAGCTAAATAAACTTAAAAGTGATTAATTTCTGTTGTTATACTGAAATTTATATATTTTTGCCATTTAATTATTTCTTAAAAAATATATTGCAAAATATGATGATTAATTTATTGCATGTTGCAAAATACTATACTCTCAATGGATTACATTTAAATTAACTTTTGCAAATTATTGCAAAAGTACACGAAATTCAAGTGTGAAAATTATACAGTATATATAATTTATACATAAAGGGCTGCCCATTAAGTATGTATACTGTTTAAAGGGAGTTTCAAAAGTACATGTACATTGTTGTACACAATGATGAGTGGGAGATTGAGGCATTGTCTATGAAGACTTTTTAGTGGTTTTGTTTGCATACAAATTTGTTCTCATAAGCTGTAAGAATTATTATTAATCATGTGAAGAAACTATCAGTTAGAAAATATTTTCAGAAAAATCTTTTTTAATCGTTTCTTCAGTGTCAATGGTTCACAAACTATTGTATACATAATTACAGGAGAGAGAGGTTTGCCCAAAAGTACATCATTGTATACAATGTAGAGGAGGGAATCAAAAGTGGATAAAAAACTGTACATGTAATTAATGGACAGCTCTTAATTTATATATATAATACTTATATGTATTAAAATATTTACAAAATTGATTTTGTATAAATATCAAAAATATAAAACTAGGTATATTTTTAGATATATTATTGAATCTTTTTAGTTAAAATAGTTTTAGATGAAAATTTGAATTCTCTTCTCATTCTCTTTTGAAAATTACTTTCATAGCATTTCCTTTTTTTTTTTTTCACAGAAATCATAAAGTTTTAGCAGAATCTACTTGTAATGTAACTCGTTTCATTGCTCTAAATAAAGTTGGCAATCCAAATAAAGAGAAGGTAACTTATTCAACATTAACTTAAATATTTATTTTTTATTAATTATACATTTATTAATGCTTATTTTTCTTTTAAGTGGTTGTATGCATTTTCTATTGAACCAAGTTCATCAATTGAGCGAACTGAATTGACGAAACAACCATTAGATGTAACTGAAAGTCCTTATAATTTCCCAGAATCAATTTGCACACCTAAGGTATTTCATAATTATAATTTCTTTCATTTATCGTACATAATAATTTCATTGTTAAATATTCTTTTATAACAAAATTTTATAGAAAGAAGCAACACAACAATTTTTTTATAATATGGATTACACTGATGATGATGATGATTATAGTAAGAAAAGAAAACATCGTCATGTAGATACTCCTCGTCCAAAGAAACGTAAGAAATTTTTATTTTTATAGCATTTTTTGTAAAAATTTATCTGTAGAATATATTTTGATGCAATACTTTCATATTGAAATTTTTGAGAATTAAGACAGTTCTTATTCTGTAATGATAAAGTAATTTTGAATATCACATTTAATTTGTTTGATAAAATGATTCATATCAATGCTTGGTAACAATTTGGTTTAAACAGTTTCATTTAGAAAATATTTATTTATGCTAGTTTTTACTGTTGATTAAATTACAATAATCTTTTATTATTAATATATTATAACATTACTAAATTGAAGATTCATCCAGATTTATTTACTTGTAAATTTGTATTTGTTCTTATAAACATAATTCATTATTAAAAAGTTTTTTGTTTAGTTTGAATTTGTTAACTACATCAGTATGGATGTAATCAATTAAATTGCATCTTTGGTGATATATAACATAGATAAAAATTTAATAATTAAAAATATTTTCAAATACTAGAGTATTAATGTTGATATTATATTTTAAAAACATTACAGATCAACCTCAAGGACCATGCTGGTTTTGTTTAGCAAGTCCTGAAGTGGAGAAACATTTAGTTGTCAGTGTAGGAGATCATGTATGTTCTTGTTATGATTTATTTTGTAAAAGTAGTAGATATTTAAAATAATCATAACAATTTATTTATTTTTAATAGAATTACTTAGCATTAGCTAAAGGTGGTTTGACAAATGATCATATACTTATTCTTCCCATTGCTCATCATCAGTCAACTATTGAACTTCCACCAGATGCATTGCATGAAATAGAAAGATATAAAGAATCCTTAAAAAAGTTTTTCAATTCTCAAAATAAAACTGTTGTGTTTTTTGAAAGAAATTATAAAAGTTCTCATCTTCAGATTCAGGTAAAAACTTTTTAAATAGCTATTGTTCAATATATCATAATCTATTAGCCCAGATTACTTAAAAATTAAAAGCTTCAGTGAATAATTCAAAGTATAAATCTAAAATTCTCTAAATAATATAAAATTTAATGCTAGAAAATACTTGTTATTCTTATACAGAACATTTTATATATAAGAATAACAGTATTAACAAGTATTATAAATTTTAAGTAATTCTTAATGTTATTTATATTCTCATGAATATTGTTTCAGGTTGTTCCCATACCACTTGATATGATAGACAGACTTAAATCAGTCTTCTTTTCTCAAGCAGATGAAAAAGATATAAATTTAGATGAAATTCCTAAACATTCAGAACTAAGTCAGGTATTATCTCTGTATATTGATATCTATTTTCATTGAACTCTTTATTTAATAAGTAGCATAGGTTAAATATATTGTTATATAATTTTTAATAAACTACAGTATATGAGGGTTGTTCAAAAAGTTCCCAAACTTATTTATTACAAAAAAAATACTTCACTTACAATTTATTTATCAGGGTCCACTTCAAAGTAATTTCCTCCCCAATGTACACACTTATCCCAACAGTGTTTCCACTTTTTGAAACAGTCCTGGAACACTTTTTCTGGACTGCTCATAAGCTCCTCTGTTGTTTTTTTTTTTCTATCTCTGGAATGGTGGTAAATCTTTTTCCTTTCAGCGTGTTTTTTTAGTTTGGGGAACAGTAAAAAGTCACATGGGGCCAGGTTAGGTAAGTAGGGTGGGTGGGGAAGCACGGCAGTTTTGTTTTTGGCCAAAAACTCGCAAGTTCTGAGGGACAAATGAGCCAGTGCATTGTTGTGAAGAAACCACTCACTGCTCCTCCAAAGTTCAGGCCATTTTCGCCTGATTCTGTGTCTTAGGCATTTCATAACCCCCAGGTAGTAAGTACTCTATGTTGACTGTCTGGCCTATAGGTAGATATTCATGATGCACAATCATCTTTGCATCGAAAAAAACAGTCAATGTCACCTTAACATTTGAGCGAACTTGTCGAGCTTTCTTGGGACAGGGGATGTTTCACCCACCCACGGGAAGTTTTCATGAAGGATTTCCCAAGTTTCACACAGAATTTCACAGAACAACACTGCTCCTTCAAAGAGCTCATTTCCACAGATCAATTTTTTGCCGAACCCCACAAACACCCTTCACATAAACGGCCATAACTAATCACCAAAGCAAGATATCAACAAACGGATTGAAGGAGGTTACTCGGGAGGTTTCTGCGGACACAATACATTCAAGCGGATTAAAAAATAACCAACTGGAGGCATGCTATTCAAAAAGTTAAGGAACTTTTTGAACAACCCACGTACAGTGAAACCTCCATTAATGGACACTCCCGAATAGCGGACACCTCTACTTAACGAACATTTCTACAATCCCCAGACCCTTCAAATAGGACATCCATTATATTTACCTCTAAATAGCAGACAAACTTTTCTGTCCCAATGGTTTCCACTATTTGGAGGTTATACTGTATAATATAAAAGTACTTACAAATTAGATGAAACTGTAAATGTCTTCATATCTTGTCCTTTTTCAATTCCAAGAATATGAAGCTATTTATGGTTTCTTCTGCTAATCTGTGAATATTTTTATATTTTATTATTGTTCTGGCCATTGTATTTGTTAAAAGTATGTAATGTTTAATTGATCTTTTTAGATTGTTCCACCTGGTAAACCGTATTTCTATGTTGAATTTGAATCTGGTGAAAAATTATTTCATAGAATAAGAACACAGTTTCCTCTTCAATTTGGCAGGTAACATACATATTAAAAATAATTATATATATTCATGTAAATCAATGAATTATAAATGTTTGTTAAATATGAAAATATTACAGGGAAGCCTGATTCATTGGTTCTAATTAATTGTTATTTGTATATTACAGGGAAGTTTTAGCAAGTGAAGAAATTCTAAATATACCTCATTGTGCTGATTGGAAAGCTTGTAAATATACTAAAGCTGAAGAAGTGGAAATGGCTTCAGATTTTAAAACGTTATTCAAAACATTTGACTTTACATTGTTATAATAATGTCATCTATATATATATATAGAAAAGAATTTGCTTATGTACAGAACCATAAATTTCATTACATTATAATGTACAATGAATTTCTCATATTGAAAATCTGCGCATTGTCATCATATTTTAGAAATGTCAAATATTTTAGTCATTTATTTTGTTATTTAATACAAATAAATAAATTAAATTAAATTAAAAGCAATTTTAAATCTTGCCATTTCATTTATTGACAAGACTATCTTGATTTCACTAAAAATTTTACTAATAATGTTGTAAGTTGTTTCTCGAGTATGTTGTAATTTAATTGCAACATGATTTGTATTTTGGAATGCATACTGATTGAATTATGTTGTCGTAAATTATTAAAACAATATATAAAATTAATTCTTTTGTGAGAAAAACTAAATCTTTATAATTGCAAATGTAAGGAGAAAATGCTTTCTTTGTATAGCATATGAAGTAAATTGATATTCAGCACGAGTTTTAACAAATTTTTTGGAATGTACAAGACTATGACAGCATTAACATATATAACGTAAATAGCAAAACTGTTTTGTATTAAATAATTGAAAATTTAATTGCATTATATTAAAAATAATTATATGATAATGGAATAATTAAAAAATATAAATTAATTTTTCTCAAAAAAAAAAAAACTTTGCATCAGGCAAAATAAATGAATCGCCCCGTAGAGAAAGTACACAAAATTTATACTTAAGCAACTCATTATCTTTTTTTGTTCAACTTTTCCGGCAACATTTGGTGGCGCCATCTGTTATGATATTTTATTTAAAAATTTTATATTTTTAACTATTATAATGGCAAAAAGCTTAATTTGAGGGTATGGATAGGTTTTATAAATTGTAAATGCAAATAACAAGTAAAATCTTCATTAACTCCGATCCTATTGGAGATAAACACTACCCCCTTTATCTCCTCACCCCGTTGATCTTTAACCACCAAAATTTAATATCTTCAATCCACCTCATAAACAAACTTCCCTGCAAAATTTCAGAAATTTTTGACAAAAAGGACAGGAGTTATTAAACTTTCAAAGAGAGTGAACAAAATCGTGCCCCCCACACTAACATCAATACTAGGGTTTCTCATTTCCCGGTCTTTTGCTTATCTCGGGATAGAATTAATTATTTTTAAGGTATACAAAATATCTTGAAATCAAATGATTTAATTATTTTCCATTTTTTAAAGTAATTTTAAAGTTCTGTAACCTCCAAAATCATATTAATAATGCTGTGTTAGGTCTATAGGCCTATAATAAAAATTACCTTTAAATAACGTAGAAATTTTCACAAATAGAAAAAAATTAATTAAAGTTTGCTGGAAACTGCATACAACAACAACAAAAAAAATGTTTTGAATTGAGTTAAAAATTAAAAAAATGAACTTCTAATTTAGAAGGTAATTTTCGTTTTTTAAATAAAATATAATACAAAATATTGCAAACTTTTATAAGATTTTAAAAAGCAAAGATGGTCAATACTCCGATAACTCACTCTAATTCTTATTTTAGTAATGAAAAGTCTTGCCACCGAGAATGCCCTTTCCGATTCAATTGATGTGATTGGAATAGTGTTTAATGCATTTAAGAGAAGACAGATATTATGTGTTTTTTCACCTGTAGCCTGGAAGATTTCGAGTTCGTTTTCGAGATTGTAGTACTTCTTTCGCTCTCTAGTATTCTTGATTTGTCTACCTTGGCTGCTTTAATAGCGGCATCAAGCTTAGAGCTCGATAATTCGGCAATTCATTTGGCTTTAATAATCAGGTTTATGAAGAAAAACTTCATACTTGCAGACTTTGTACTCGTTTGTATCCTTGCCCAATTTGCACAATCTGGCGTCAGGCATTTATTGAAGCTACTGGACATGGTTAAAACTCAAGACAGCGTAAGCACAATTATTCCAGATATTACAGGTTTCGACAAGTAAAGAATTTTTATAGTCCTGCCACAAATAAGTTATATATTGATTATTGACCATTTGTGACATGCTATAACGAGCAAAAATTTAAAAAAAAACTAATAAGTAGGTTTAAAATTAATAAATACAAATGTATTCTGACAGTGAATGAGTTAATTATGCTTTCTATTTGCAAAATTCCTCAACCTTAACACAAAATAAGAAAAAAAGTGAATTTTTAAGAAATTTGCGGGATTTCCCGGGATAAGAAAAATTTCCCGGGTTAAAAAAAAACAACCGGGATCCCGTTTGAGAAACCCTAATCAATACATACAGAAACCCCCCGAATTTTTTGGCATTTATAGACGTTTCAAGGTGTCTGAGTCCAAAAGTGTAAAAATCTGGGGAGATCATATTTTGATCGATCACCATACTGTATATAACAACCGAGAAAGTAATTAAATTAATTTTTCATTTTTAACGTTGCAACTGAAGAATGCACAATAAAATGTATAGATTCCAGAATTCATTTTGTCTTGCATTGTTTTCCATATCTACAATTTTAAAATTAAAACTTTAGATATGTGAAAATAAATATATTTAGGTAGATAATGTATATCTGTGGATCTAATATGCTAAAATTATAAAAATTGTGAATAATTAGATGTTAATCAAATATCCTCATATTTACAATTATAATATAAATTAGTTGTTAAATTTAAACAAAAACTTTTGTTTATTCTTATAGAAATAATTTTTAAATATTGATTAATATATTCTGTTAACGATAAGATTAAGAAATTTTTACAGTCAATTTAAAGAATTAGAGAAACTCTTTGAAGTTTGTTTAAATTTTATATGAACTACATTGACTAATGTACTGTACAGTACTAAACATAATCTGAGTTCACTTTTATTGCAAAAATTTACAAAGTCACAATTATTAATAAATTTCAGATTTTTGTAATAATAATAATAGTTCCAATAATAGCATATATTCAAATTCAAAATGTAAAAAGTTTTATTCGAAAATTATCTTGGTAATTCTAAGCTTTGCCTGTAAACCAATGATGAACTGCTTTCAATGATCGAGTTGTAAGTTATCAAAATATCTGAGAGATTATTTAACAAGTTCAATAGGCTTGATGTTAATTATAAATTCAAAACTAAACATATTAATGAATACAGATTCATTAATGATGAATAATGTAATGAGTGACTTCTGACTACTGAAAATGATAAACATTATCATACATTGAAGATAAGGATAAAGTTTCAAATTATAGAATTTTTTAATTATATTGAGTCGAACTTACTTCTAATTTATGAAGAAAATTATTAGGAAAACGAACGTCTATTTCTAATTGTAAAATTTACAAGTTCAGAAGAAACACTAATATTAGAGTAAAAGTGTTTTCACATCTCGGAATTGTGTAATGTACTTTGAGGAGTACTGTACATGAACTTTAATTATTGTCGTCCTAAAGTTTTATTTAATATCATTTTTCTTATTGTGCCATCGGCAAAGGGATTTTAAACATTTTCTTTACATATTGAAGTGGAGAGATGCTCAAAATAATTGACTTTATTGTAGTCCTCATTACAATATATAAGTGAAAGGAAACGAGCTGTGAAGACACTTTTACTTTAATTTTAGTGTTTCTTCTGAACTTGTGAATTTTAATTATTGCCGTCCAATAGTTTTAATTAATACTCTCTGCTAAAATTTCGGTGCTTCGCGGTGTATGATTTCCAAGTGTTGTGTATCCCACTTCCTGTGTCTGCCCAACAATGTATGACAGGAAATGTTAGATGTTTCAAAATAGAGTTATTATTTATAATTTTATTTTACATTGATTCATGCGACGCATAAAAATAGAATTACAATTACTTTCTTAGAGAAATAAACTGCATCCGACACATCAGCTATTTCAGGATTTTGTTTGACAAAATATATGATTATAATCACGTAATTTTTGTTCATATGTTTGAAACAACTGTTTTATGCATAAATGACTTCGGCCTTTCTCTTCTATCTTCAATGATTAAAAAGTTAATGATTACTTATTTCGAAAAAGAAGTCACGATTGTTAAAGATATTATTCGAGGTCCTCGAAAGATTAGTATGAGGCCCAGGAGTATAACGGTCCCCTTTTGCAATTTTGGGAGGTCACGACTACTGGGCAATTTACAATGGGCGATAGTCAATTGGGCGACAGAGACTTAAACATTTTTGCACGCTTAGCAAGCATACGATTTGGCGGATATACTGTATATATTTTGTAAATACTGGTAAAATATATATAAATGTAAATATGGATAAGACTTATGAGGTATAAATTATAAGTTATGAACTATGAGTTACGAGTTATTTCTAATTTAGGAAAAGGAAAATTTTAGAACAACGTAGTGTAGCATCGTTAATTAATGTATGTCAGAAATGGTTAACAAAGCACATCAAATAAAAGCAGTTTTTCGAAAACAAATTCTTTCGAAGAACTTTTATACTTTTTCGTTTCAATGTAGGCTATGTTGTATTTAATGTTTAATGTAATGTGTTTATATTTTTATGTAATTGTTACGTATATTTGTTAATTTTGGGGTTAGATATCAACTGTCCTTCGGGACTTTATTTATTTTTACAAATAGAAAAGTATGTAACATGTTAATTACAGAATCGTTCTTTTAACTCTTTCAAGTGTTTCTTAAAAAATATTATTTAAATTTACTGGGAAAGAATGGTGATTTTAAGAAGAAAAACGCATTTTGTACTTTGAATAATAAAAAAATTTTTATTTTGTCTATTAGTGATCTCTTATTTTGTCACCCAGTTGACAGTGTCCTGCTTCCTGGTTCCCGGAGAAAATTCTCCAGCTCCTTCTCTAGACGGAAAAAAGAACAATTTGTAACATTTCTCGAAACTGTTTTATGATATTAGAATCTATATATCAGATTCTAAAAGCATTCATTTTATATTCAAGTCTCATTTCTAATATTAATATAATCACTTCTGTAGGCATCAAGATGGTCTTTACACCACGCTCATCATGGATTAGGCAGACTCTCAATGGAACAAATGGATGATAAGGGTAGCACTCAACTTATCCAGGCTAGACCATCCATAAAAACATCTGAAGATCCAATCCAGACTCGAATCCGAGTTTATCAGAGCGTCCGGCCGACTCCTTACTGTGAACCAATCTTTAGCCACCTCGACTATCTGACCAATTCATTATGTTTATGATAAATTAAACTAAATCATTATGATGTCATT